CAGACCTCAAAAGTACGTGGAATTACACATCCGTTTGCCAAGTTTTAAGAAATATTATTATAAATATTATTTCAAGTAATATCCCCTAGTTCGCCACTACACAGGAGATAATAAAAATCGGTTCTCACTACTCAAAGTATATTGAGAGAGAAAAACGCCTTGAATTGGAGAATAGCAAAACCAACCATTAAAATAATTGCTCCTTAAGTAAAATTTAGGCGCTATTTATAAAAATGTATGTTCATGCTTGATCAGCCACCCTTAGAGGTGGATGATTTTCTTCAAAATCAAATGGGACCACTATGGAGGTACCCTCATTCCAACAAAAAAAAGAATGAAAATCGGTTCACAAATACCGGAGTTATCGCGTAACATACATACAAAAAAAAAACATACAGTCGAATTGAGAACCTCCTCCTTTTTTGAACTCGGTTAAAAATACCAAAATATTTAAATCTCAGTTGAATTGTTGCTCGATGGCAAGCAAATAACAACCCTCTACTCTTGACTTTAAGCAGAATACTAAACGTACAAAATCTTGCCATTGACACTCTACCGCCATATTACTGAGATGATTTAAAATTAGCAGATTTGGGCCCAGCCAATGCAATAAAGAAGAAATGAAACTATACAAACCTTGACAGTACTCCGTTAGGGTCTCTAATGTCTGATTAATGAGAGCCACGTTACCCTCATTAATATAAAGCCCCAAAAGGCCGAGACCACCCGTGGTTGATCCGCATATGCAGTCGAGGAACATTAGTGTCTCGGACACTAAGTTGTAGTTTGATTTGTTGTTTTGGTTGCGTAAGAGATTCTGGATAATAATAATAATAGTTTATTTTCTCAATACAAAGGAACACATATCTGTTAAATATAGGCTAACAATATAATATCGTAACCCTGGTGAGAGACTGGGGTCCATACTAGGAATGCCGCGAGATGTCTGTGGCATTCGCGGATCATCCGCATATTTTTAAATATCTGTTTCCGCGTCCGACATCCGAATCAATCGATGCAGAGTTTTTGCGGGTACGAAAGTTTTGCAGGCCACGACTAGATCGTCGGGAGCAGGCCCTACTCTAATCTGCTAATGAGCCAATCAGGGATCGAGAATTCGGCAGCGAATAGTGCAGGCAATGACTTGTTTGTTTTCTAAACAAATTATTGAGTTTATTACGAACTTTTTCATTCAAGATAGCCCAGGCTCTATTCGCATAAAGGACTGTCGTACTATTTCCATGCCATCTATAATCCATCTGTTTTATTTGTGCCTTAGTTTTACTGCGATCGGCGATACACCTGTGAATGTGGCCATTGTGACAAATTCTATGTGAGACGTGAGTGTAGAAATGTCTACGTACCTGAAGATCAGGATTATGGTTTTCACATAGCAACTGCAGGAACCTGAGTATAGGCTTCATTATAGCCACTTTGGCGGGCAGCTCGTCTGAATTGCCCGATTCTCGTTTTTTCTCGGCCAATATTTCTTCTAGCACAGTCGAACCTATGAGGAAAGGTTTATGTCTAAAATGTGCTTCTGTTTGGTGTTAAAAATGTTAGCAAAACAAGCATGTCAAAACAGCACAGATAATAGCCGTACACTGAAAAAAGGACTTTAAATTGAGCTTATCAAGATATTTGATACGATCAATCACAACACGATTAAATTCATAAATAAGATCAGGTGCGATAAGAGAAACATTGGAGGAAGAGGGATTTGAAGTTTTAACTCTTAATCTAAAGAATTTGGCACTAAAGTCCCTCAGTCGATACAACAAACAAATTAATTTAGACGATTTTCAAGAAATATCGCTACGATTCTTTAAATGCAAAAGGTGGATAAAACTAATTCGACAGTTGTGAAATATTGAGAACACGAGGTGTACAATACCTTTATAAGAAATATGATTATTGTTCCTCGTACCTCATCTTTTAGGGAAAGAGAAACGTTAGAACAATTTGCACGTTTTCGGCAAATACAACGTAAGTTAAATTCAATTAGCGTAATGATTATTAAAGAATGTAAAGCTGATAAGCAAAGGCGAGTTTAGAATACTTCAAAATTCTTATAAGATTATCTGTTCTTCCTAGAGATTGAAACATATGACTCAAAATAAAGTGTGTTCCTTTTACCCCCTCTGATTATACTCAAAACTGTTGCCGCTATCATATTGCTTGATAGACTTAGATGGAAATAAGTTACCTTAAAGAATGCATATATTTCAGGCACACTTTTTTCAGTGTAGTTGTCAATTGATTAGTTATTCATCCTGTAGTTTCCAGTTTTATTTCTAGATTTTTCATAACTTTATTAAAGTGTTATAATTATTAATACAAAGATCGAACGCTTAGAAAAAATTCCTTCGACCTTCGATCGACGTCTTCTAGCAAACCGTGGCAGACGCTATGCCAACTAAGCCACGAAACGAACCAGCGGACCTCACGAATTGTTCTATGTGCTTGTTGTGGAACCTTTGTATTTGGTTTTCAACGACTTTTTAACCGTAGCGCCATCTATGAAATGATTTCGTCACCTAGTTAGGTAATTTTACAGCTACCAGGCTTGGCTAGAAATGTCGCTATTAACTGTAAATAATTATAACAAACTAGTGGATTAATTTCACAAAAAATAATTGAATATCAATTCAATACAAATTTATTAATGTGGTTATTTTTCTGTATCAATGCATTTTTTACAAAAATTCAACGTTACGTAAAACTGGAAGCACAGAATTCGTCAAAAAATCCACCATTCAACGAATAAAACAGCTACTAAAGCTTCTAGAAACAACAGAACTTTCTAGAACTGTCTAAAACGTTCGAGAAGGTTCTACAAGTTACCATGCGACATGGTGTGTATGTCGGAGTAGGCGTTGACGGCGGAACCGCACGCATACGCCACCTCGTCGTCCATTTCTTCCCCCACCACCAAAGGGCCAGCGCCCGCGCCGGCTTTGCCTGCAATGCTCGAGTTTTTAACTGTTCTAGTATAAAAAAGTTGCGATCATGAGCAAATTAAGATATTATTTATTTATTTATTAACACTATCAAATCGAGAATGTTCTTAAAAGGGTTGGAGTGCATAGTGAGAAGAATACGGGGGGGCTTTTATCAAAAAAATATGAAAGTAAGTAAATAAAACCTGAGAAATTTGCCAAAATCGAGCAAAGTGGCGATCAATTTGTCTGCCTACCCCAATGGGAGACCAAGTATATCTATGTCTATGATATTTATACTGGCCTTTCTTTTTCATAAAAAAAAAATGAGGTCAAATGACCTATATACTCACTTGATGGAAAGTGACGATTGGTTAAACAAAGTACATTTTGGACGCACTAACAAAACAATTTGGTAAGCAAGGCGTACTTGCGTATAAACGATATCGTTTTAACACATTTTAATCCCTTAAGCTTAGAATAATAACGCATAGAATGATAGTTTCATATCAAATGAACTGTCACAAGTGAGGCAAAAATCAAATTCATGTAGGCTAGTTTTAGTAGTAGGTTAATTTTCGGGTTTAGTGAATATTTATATAAAAATACAAGTTGAAACGCGTTACTTCCTTGTGGAATGTGATGTTAGTATCTATTTTACGTTTATCTGACGTATTTTTACACTCATTTACCGCACATTTCGTCATTTTTAGCTAAAATTCTTGATCTGTTCGCGGTGCAATTTGACCTTGAGCACTGAAGACCCTACCGCTCGTGTAGGCCCTTTGGACGCGCTTCAATTTGCCTCACTTAGCGTGTGCGGACTAGGTTTCTATGCGTTATTATTCTAAGCCCTTAGTAAGTAAATGAAAAGACGCAAGTTACATTCAAGTTTCTAATTCTTCTTCAGTTAAAGATCTACATGCATGAAAGTTTCGAAGAATGTTAATTTCCCAGATGACGTTCACAATACGCTCACATAACTTTAAAATAAATTGGAAATATTACCTTTCATTTATTTTCATCACACTTGCACGTAAATAATACCATTGCAAACAGGCTAACTCGATTATAACACCCAAATAAAACCCCAGGGTCTTTTTTCTTCCCATCACATGGCTGCAATGAGAAAAAACAAGGCCTTTATAGGCCAAGGTTATCCTGCATGCAATCAAACTATTTACGACGAGCGTGTATAAAAGCATTGTTCCGTGTTTATAAAGCGGGAAATGTGCGTCAGGATCTTAGCATGTGGAAGGCTGTGGTCTCTGCCTACCGCGATCCAGATAAGGGTGTGAAGTGTGCGTAAGTATTGCCCTCGCGTTCTTAGTGCGGCTAAATGCGTCGTGTCAAACGGTTTGATTTAAACCCTTGGTCAACAACGTTACCAAACCCAGCACCTTTACTTACCATCAGGCTGTGGTTGTTTGTGCTTGTCCCCATGGCCAGTTCTTTGCTTGTCCTGGCTGGTGGCAGCGGTGCTACTTGCGGCCATTGACCTAATCTCCTGCTGAGCTTCACGCATTTTGTCGTAGAATACCTTGTAATATATGTAAAACATAATACAGAAATTTAATAAATTAAAACCAATCAGGTAAATGTGCAAGATGAGAGACTACACGGTAATGTCAATAATCTGTCTTATCAATTCCGTGTTGCTGCTGGTTCGAATCCAGCTGGTGCAAAGGAATTTTTCTTAGTATTCGATCTTTGTAATTGCAACAAACTAGGGTTGTAAATTCACAAAAAATAATTGAATATCATGGTAGTAAAATATCGAGATATTCAATAAAATTTATTAATTTTGTTGAAATTTGTTGTTTATTTTTGAATTGATCTCTAAAATATTATTTTTGAAATGACTACAGACAATATCACGTTGAAGTGTGAGGCCAGACGAACGTAATTTTGTGAGTTGTGAGTCGCGTAGTTTGAGCTGCATTCGGTTTCATATAAAAGTACTGTTTGTTTCACACGGCGACGCAAAATGATTATCTGCCGACTCACAGGTGTAATGACGACTGACTTTCGGTCGCATCGTGTGAAGGGCTGGCGTTGGTGGAAGTAGGGGTGAGGGAAGGGGTCACTTTGGTATAAGCGTGTGACGGTGTGACCTCCCCACACCGTCATCTCACCTTTTTATATCGCCTCACTCCGCTTGTATCCTATATTTTTTTTATTTTACATGTTTTAAATTTTAAATTTGAATTGTTCCATTTTCCTTCACTTTCTCATTTTGTTTTCGTACCACGGTCACTCCCAGCTCGATCGCCACAACACTCGGAGCTGTTTCAAATTCCATTTACTAAAATCTTATTTTTAATTCTTTACCAGTTATAATACAAAACGTATAATACAACAGTTGGAGCAAAAGAATTATCAAAAATTTGCTGCAATAGTTTTTCGACCAAAAAACGAAGCCATAAACCCGGATGCAATGGTGCCGCCATTGAAACACGAATATAAAGATTTGTACAGACGCTTTCTGGCGCTTTTCAAACGCTTAAAATACGTTCGTCTGGCGATCCAACCGAATTTCGGTCGAGCGCAAACTGCGCAACACAAAAGACGCAACTCACATCTCACAAAATTACGCTCGTCTGGCCTCACCCTTAAAAGAAAATTATTTTTTTTTTGTTTAAAGTTAGCTAGTAGCAAAAACCGCACGGACATTTTGTCCAAACTGTTACAATGTGCCCGGAACAATAATTGAATTTCCTACCTTAAAAAATGCTTGAGACATTTCTCCATTCTGTAGTTTGTTAAATATGCTTTGTTGAATTATAGGGTTGCCGCCTTCCAGAAGTGCGATTCCTGAAACATGAATTGTTTATGAATACCATAGCTAAGTAAAAGTTGAAAAACAAACACACCTCTATTTTATTCTAAAACAAACCAAAATGGGGTCTGCCGCTCGTGCGCCGCCTGTAGCTGCCTCGACGTATAAACGTGTGAGCGATATACACCTTAGACCAAAACAACGGAAATGTTCAACCGTACGTTAGGTATGAGAACTAAATTTATATCTTCTGATTATTATAGTAGCAGCATAACTCCATTTGAAAGAGTTTGTCCAGGGAAGTACTGTCACCTTATCTATTTCTGCCGCCAAGCAGTAAAGTAATGTAAGGGTACTGGTGAAATTACAGGCACATAAGACTTGTGAACTTATGTCTCAGGGTGACTGGGCCGTGGCAGTGCCCCCAAGATCTTTGCGATTTAAAGCTCTGAATGCCATTGCAACTGTTATGAATAGGTGTGTCGCTTACCACCAGGAGCACGACTTGTTCGTCCCGTCACTGGTATTATAAGAAAAAGTGCTTGTCGGTGGGTAATCGCCAACCACATCTGTTCAGCGCCCTACCTTTGGTTTCCTGATGCGAAAGGACATTAACTATTCCTTTAATCTGATCTAAATAACTTCGTCTCGGTTTTCCTCTATTTCCTTCGATCTTCTCCTCTATGATGCTTCTTAGAAAACTGTCGTAACGATCAGATGCCCAAACATCGTTCCCCTTCAGAATTTATATCACGTTGGGACATTATGAAAACATTCCAACAACTGTTTAAAGAATCAGGACAAGGACAGCTTCATACTTTCCCTGTGTCTGGCATCAAACTAAGAGCGATGCCACACGATGCATTGCGTCGCGGTTGCGATGTACTACATATAAATAAGAATGCGTGCGTGTCTGACAATGGAAGTGCTGCTGTGCATAAGTAGGCAGCGTTACGGTCCAACACCGCATCGCTAATGTGGCACTTGGTACGTTAAAATCATAGCACCCATGTGACGTCACTCTAAGCATGTATGAAAACACTCATTGCAGAAAACCCAGCTCCCTTAAGGAATTTCTTAAAACTAAACTTTACTTATTTTGGATTACTCACCTAAATGAATAGCTTCTAAGAAGATAGCCTGTCGGTTAGTACTCCTGATGACGAGGTCTACCACCAAATCGGACGCACCTTCCTTGTCCAGGTGCGCTTGCACTTGCGCCAGCGTTTGGCCGGTACGCAACAGTACCTTTGCTGTTTGGAAACATGACAACAGAAGGTCAGAAACGTCAAAATTGTGAAGAGAAAAACGTCTATGCACTCACAAATAGCCTTGATAAGAAAAATACGTCTAAAATTGTATAACATCTGGTCACAAGGTCGCAATTCGAGCTCGGTATATACTGTATAAGCCTTGAGAGCACAATCATATTTAGCATACGTAGATATGTACAAAGTTTAGCAAAATGCAGGGACGATAAACATCGAGCATTACATCTTTGCAATAAGGTTTATAGCAACTTTCAGGTATTCATTGCCAATAGCTTACTACGCTTATATAGTCCCTTTATCACGAACGGACGCAACTTAAAATTTTGTCGAAACACAAACTTTTTTTTAACTTTTTTTAAAGCCTTGCACTAGAGAAACCCTATATTGTTGGTGCCATGGATACACACATAGACAACCATAAATTACACCCAAACTCACGAGAGAAATAAATGCAGGCCATACAAATATTTCTCCCGGACCGGGAATCGAATCCGAGACCTCTGCGTGGCAGTCCAGCAAGACGACCGTTCGTCCACGAGTGCAATTAGATTGCGCAGTCAACAGCCCATCAAGTTATATACACTTTTGTTCGAATATCGCCTCCAGTACAACGGAACAAGATCTGTCAATGTGTAGCTTGATGTACTGCTGTCTGTATGTTTTAAATTGATTGATCAAACTCTAGAAACACATCTCAATTTCATTACATTGTAAATCGCGTACAGAGTATTATCAAATTATTATACCTGCAGGGCTAGCACTACAGGGCGCGACTTGCGCGAAAGCGACATACACCGCGATATACTGCTATTCTCGCTTAGAGATCTCTCGCTTTATGTCGCTCTCGCGCAATTCGAGCCCTGTCGCATGCCAACTCTACTGCACTACGATCATTGAGTATATAACCAGAAATAGAGACGAAATAAGGGCCATCCATGTCTGGCAACTCATCAGGCAAATGGGCCTTATATCACTTTGAAATATCAACTCTCGTTTGCGCCGAAATCACAAATTAGAAAGCTGAAATAGTACAGCGCCAACAACTGACTTGTGTGTACATTTCCGAATATTTCAAAAATATTCTGTAATTATTGTAATAAAGATAATATATCTAACAATGAGGCGCTCTTTCATTCGGTGGTGTGGGTAAAACAGTATTTAAAACATCTAATTAGAAAACAAACGGAATCACATTTCATCGGTCATTAAATATAAAATATGTAATTTTTCAATTTTTGTCTATAATACACACCCGTCAATTGTTTCGATTTGGGCTGGCCAATCGGAGCGCAGCTGTCACCGTAATCATTTGGCAGAATAGTTTTCAAACAAATTAAATGACATTTCGTCTCTATTTCTGGTTATATACTCGATGACTACGATAGACCTGTATCGTAGGTTATCAATTTACTCTTATTACAGACGGTTACAAGTATGAGAATAGTTCAATAGGAAAGGATATTACCAAAAAGAAATTTACATAACATGAACTGTAAGAAAAGTAGTAATTAAGTAGCTCACAGAACCAAATCACCCATAACCTTATTTACATACTTTGATTCAGCATTTTAAGTTCTGTGTTATGCCTAAGTCACGTCCATTAGTGTTTTAAGGCCGGTTCAGATTACAAGCGGTAGCGTGACGAGAAGCAGTTTTGCTAACGCACGTATACAAAGACACGAATTTTATTAATAAGTCGCCATTAATGCTAACGAAGCTCTTAAACCTCATTTACATTACCGCGGAACGCAAAATTTTCCTAAACGTACTGTGACGCTAGTGTAAGAATGTTAATCTCTTTAAACTTATCTCTCAAAGACACTCTGAAATCCAGATTGTAAATTGCCCCAACCGCACATTTCTGCAGGACTAAGATTCTATTAATATCGGCGGCATTACCCCGAAGCAAAACGCCGTGTGAAATTAAACTGAAAGTAGCTGAAGTAAACCAATCTACCGGTTTCAACGTCTGAATATGTTCGTACTTTTGAATCTTGTACACTGCAGAGTTGAGAAATTTTTGATAACTTACTTATATCTGACTCCTATTGCAATTTAGCACCTAAGGCAGTTTACCAAAGTGGTCCTAACCACCCCATTAGGCACTCAAGAGTCCTAGGAGGGAATAAACAATATTTTTTTACTTGCGATTTTTTTGTGTTGTGTTGCGTTAAAATATTAAAGTTTGGGACCCTATGATCTAAAGTTTCAATGTTCAATTTTTCGTTTCCAACCATAATGTTTGTAATAATGGTATGATTATAAAAGTTCGCTTCCGTTCCGTAGAAATGTAAATTGAGCCTAAAGCTTATCGTGTGAACCGGACCTTAAGGATCTATATAAGTATTATACATTTGATAATGACCTGTGTTTTTATACGATATATAAATGTAACTTCGCGGATTCTATTCTTTTTAATTCACTATCATAGTTGACGTTTTAGTGTAGCGAGACACTAGGCCGAACATCCATAACGACATTTTCGGTAGTTTTGTTTTTCTTTATTAAATTGCGTTAGAACGACTGCAGTGAGTTTGTTGATATATTTGGTGCATCAGTAACCTGTTACCAGGCAGCTGTACGGACTTTCATCTTACGTGAGCTGTAACTGTGGCAACTTCATGCCTTATTTGTAACGCAGTATAATTATAGTTGCACAAGTAATTTTTATTTATATTTGTTAACATCTTACTTTCTTCCTATTTGTAATGTTTATCATATCTTTCTATATACGGTATTTAAAATACATATTGTATTGCATGTTATATAAATTAAAAGTGTGAATAACTGTGTATATTATGTATATAAGTAATTAACTGTGTTTGACTGTTGCATGTGGTCGCAATCTTTAATTGAGTCAACATTTTAGCATTACTCCATTTGAATTGTATAATCAAAATTGTATGTATTAAGTGTATGACTTGTTGGTTGTCCTAAATAAATAAATTTAATTTAATTTAATAAGTAACATTATTGGACACAAATATGACGTACGTAAGCATAAGCAAACTACACTTCAAATCGTTGTATTGATTAAACACTTCGTACCTCCCGCAAATTTTCGTTTCACTATAGTTTAAAACCCCGTAAATGGCAAATTCTGAAACATCAACCGCAATCGTAATTTCGTATTTCGGCATAGTGTGTCGCTACACTTACTCAATGAAAATAATAATAAATTATAACCGTCAAACAATAGAACAAGTGTAAAGATACACGATAATTGATGTCAAAAAATCAGGGAATAAAGCTTAGCGAGGGTACACTTTGGTTCATAAAATATTTGTTGAGATTTAGCATTCGTTCAATATGAATAAAAAAACAGCATCAAGCACCAATTGGCACCCAATTAACTCATCGGAAATTTATTATTAACCGCGACATCACTTACACAGACAGGTCTAGTTGCACTATGTCGACAACTAAAACCTTGCCCGCAGAGTAACTATCAAAGTGGTGGCAGCCTCTATCATTACCCGAAATCTCTGCCTATCATTAAAACTAAGAACATTTATTTTACAATCGTTAAAATTATGGGAAAAAATTATATCTCGTAAGGCGAGCAGCATAGAAATTGTGCCCAGTAGCATAGAAAATCTGCATTTCCGTACCGCTCTTGTTAACGCTGACCCCACTTGACGTGATTATATTTTACCACACTAGTCGTATTAAGCCTCTGTTTTTACTTTTTTCCTCTTTTTCTTTTCCCTTTTTTTTCTTATCTTTTTAAACCAAGGCGCCATCGATGCGGCCGTTCGGGAGTCATAGTAACTTGCAATAAAGATATTGAACTTTCAACTATATAGCGAATGGGTGAAGTTTAAATTATATAACAATCCAGAATTGGTTAAATCGTTTTAAATTAGAAACTATGACCAATAATTATCAAGATTTCATAGTGTTTATCATTTGTTTGTGTGCGTTGTGGCGACAGCGGTTCCGATAGTAATCGAGGCTTAAGGCACTTCCTTGTTTTTTTTCTTCCGTGGTTTGGACGTCGACGCAGACGTTCGGACGTCGGCGCAACCGTTCGGGCGTTGACGTGGCCCTTCGTAAGACGACTTCGCTGATCAGCCGTCATAGGTAGCGTACGTACGCGGTCAGAAATTCGCAGGAAACCTGTCGAGCCGAGTCGTACGGAGTAATGCGAAACGCACGTTTTTTTGTTTACAGGCTTAATGCGATACCATGTCGATATGTCTGGTGGCTCCCTTGAGCGATTGGTATGAAATAGCAACACAATTGAAAGTTTGACATATAATTAGTAGAAACCACGGAAGAAAGAAAATAATTATGTGGTCTGTGGTAGAAAAAAATACTTAAGCGGCTGCACTGAGCCAGAAATACAGAAATCAATGGCACTGGATGTATTTCGTCTTTCGTGGTAAGAAAATAAATGCTGTTTGTTTTATTGATAGAAACAAAAAAAATTGGGCGATGTCGTAAATAATTCCGGTTTCCAAATTTTGGTCTTATTAATTATATATAATTATAAATATTTTCTACATGCCCATGCTACTATTGTGCTAGCAATCATGCATTCTGGCTTTGGTACATCATACAACGGTTATCACTCACAAGATAAATATTTCAGGTTGTGTGAGCGCCCCACGCAGTGAATCATGGTTTGAACTACGGTCAAAATGTGTGGGTCATTTTAAAGGTAATTGTGGACACAGTGTGTTTTTGGTTTTTGTGTCGTGAGGACTGTGTAACATGAGTAAAGTTATGTATTAAAAACTAAAAGTTGTGTAAGGATTACAGCGAATCTTAGTTCTGAAATTACTAACTACTACATACGTGTTTTTGTAGTTTTAATTCATTCAAATATTATTGGTAAACGCACTTTTTACTATAAGGAATTTATTAAGAGTCTATACGACCTCAAATGGCTATGGTAGATTCAGCATAACAGTGAAAGTGTTCAATGTAAATCAGTCATTTTGAAAAAAAAAATTAATAAAATTGAGGACTGTAAATAGAGGACTGATTAGCATACGGTGTGAAAACCCGATTCCTAAACATTTTGACGACAGAAAAACAAACAAAAACTTACCTCGAAATTTTACAAGAAAACCGCTGTATGCAATAGATACATTACATATACCAATGATTTTTTTTATATATATAAACAGAACTAAATAGAAAACTTACTATACGATACGATATACATTTTTCAAATAGCTTTAATTTTGTTTGTAAAAAAAATCTGAAATAAAGTTAGTGTCTCTGCCGTTCGACCTAAGCAAAATGAACCGTATTAGAACGGGAAAAACTTGAATTCGAGCTGAGGTGGTATCGACTCCTAAGAGTGATTGTAGCCTATTGGAAGAACGGTTGCTTCTCTGTTGAATCGTTCGTATGGCGGTGCGTACATATTGCTAACTTTCTAAACTAGGTATATTTGTGATTGTTTAATAACCTCTCTCTTAACGCTGAAGGAAAACATCGTGTTGAAATCTACATGGCGAAGATTCGGCTGCAGCGCGGCTTATACAGGGTGGCATATTTTGAGTGGTCCAAAGTTTTTTTTTTAGATTATAACGACTAATTTAAAATAAACATCAGTTCCGCAAATATCAATAGTTTAGAAGTTATGATTTTTATCTAGTTTTTTGAAACTTTTCTACTCTGCTCATTAAAACCAATCTAGTTTGAAAACTATTCCACTAATTGTAGCTAGCATGCGATGAGCCATTTTTGTGTTTGTTTATAGATTGCACCGTTATTTTAGAACTGTAGGAGATTTTTTATTTGTTCACGAATAAAAAGTTAAGTATTAGAGAAATTCCTGAATGTGAAAAATATACAATCGGAATTCGTTATTGACTTTAAGATATAGGGATTGTTTACAAATAATATTATAGTGTTGTAACTATTGTAACATTTTCGTAAATTGACTTGTTGTGCAGTGAATCACTAATTTTGACAACGACGCACCATGGAATACTGTGCTTGAATAGTCCCTATGCTAAGGGAGTTTAGGTAGAAAATATAAAAAAATACATCAAACAAAACACAAAAGAAGTATGTCTGAAGTGTTTAACACAAGTGGCACATAAAATTCAAACAAGTGTAGATTGAAACATTCACAAAATTGTCTGCCCAAAAGTAACATGTGTACCTCGTAATAGAGTCAAGTTTCAATTGGAATAAATACAAAAGTGAATTATTAAGGCAAAAAGTGTAGTGCCAGACTCTTGCACAAAAAAGGTCTGCATGGTTTCAACAGGACAAGCGAGATTTATATAAGAAAACGAGGGGCCTAACCGTCTAACTTAAAAGTCAGCCTTACATTCAAAACACCAGTCATCTATGCTTCGATTTTTGAAACGAACATACGCGCACGCACCCGTGCACGCACTTGTACACGCTCTCGAACTTGCAATCGAACCCGGACTCACAATCGAACTCGCACTTGCAATCGAACTTCCACTTAAACTCACAGGCAGACTTACAATTTAAACGGTTACAGGGCTTGTGTGGATCTAATAATATCACGTGTAATCAAACTGAACGTCACGTTAAAAACGTGCATGGCACACAGTGTCCTTGGTGTTTGAACCCACCTGTCTTCACGTGGTGATGACGATCTTCATGCGCGGTGAAACAGAAAACTCTATGTCATGTCTACGCTAACAGTGCTAATTTTAGTACTATTGAATTTAGTTTGCTAGCACTAAAATAATTTGACAGAACCAAATCTTAATAAATATCATGCGTAAAAAAGTGCGAACATGTGCATTTGAATATTGCTTTTTTATTGACCAGAACAATCAAACTAACAAATGTTTAATGTTAGGCGTATAGTTCGCAAAACGTATGAGTTAAGGCTTTTCGAAATTCATATCGCCTAGTACACTCTTACGCTCCTGGGTTTACAGACACAAATAAAATTTAAAATTTGATTTTAAAGCCATAATAATTTTTCTTGGTGCTTTTTAACTTAAATTTGATTTTTGCCCAGTTTATTTGAGCATTTAGAAGGTATAGTTAAAATTTACCACTTAATACGTACTATTCGAGTCATATTAAGGCTAAAAGTTTGATTTCCGGTGCTAGGCTCAGCGTAGTACCGATACTCCCGGTACATCTCGAAAAGCTAACCAGTAAACTGTAACGATTTTTCCGAGATATTCATACTTATTCAATAATTTACCTCATAATAATAAAACTTCATTCTCTAATAAAAAATATCTATTTGAGAGATAATTACTATTAAGTAAGTAGGTAGTTACTTGCTATCTATAACCGGCAGTACCTGCAATCTACACGGTACCGGGACTGATTGCACCTCGCCAGTACCGGGATTTCCCGGTATTTCCGAAACCGAAAATTCTCGGGAGCAAGCCCTAGTTCAGATCATTTTAACACTAACTATACAAAATCACAGATATGTTAAATGATAATTTAAATTCTGTCAAGTTTAGTTTAGCGCTAGAATTTATAATGCACATTTTATTTCTATTTTTGTTAGCAAGTGATAATTATTTTCAAAAGTCAAAATTAGTTTAATCAGAAATATTTCTATAAATTATTTTAAAAGTGTAAAACATTATTAAACAATTTATGGTCAATATTTCTGATTGCACCGTATAAAAATGAATGTAATTTTTAAGTGCAATTCTGTTCAAAAAACTAGTGCGTTATTATTTTGCTTTTCTATGAATGTTAAAAATTCCACCGAACTAGTCAACGCGTATTCGACTTTGACCAGTAAAAATTTGCTTTATGCATTTTAAATCAAACATTTTGTAAAACGGATCGGACGGAACGTCGGTCGATACCGATGCGAATACCGTCTTTTACATCCATATTACCATATAGATACAAAGCCGATACCGTATCGACAAGTTTGGTAAAACCATTACTGCAACCTTTGTTAATTAAAGAAAATTTAGGCTGGTTGACAACTTATTTCTTGACATTTCCAAATACTGAAACGTTATTTGTAGTGTTCTTTTTGATTTCTGCATTACAAGAAAATAATTAAGTTACTTTTTACAACCCTAACTAGCCACATAATTGTTGCTACATTAAAATTTTGTAAAATCTTTGCTCATCTATGGCACATTGTAATGTGTGAACAAATTACAGAGAACATTATTTGTGGGAAATTTCAAATCGATTAATATTTTACTTTTAACTTTCATTTGTCAAATGTGTTATTGTTATTAAATATTGAGGGTACTGTACGTGTACCCGGGCCGGCTTACATTTTCGAAAACCGGATGAAGTCAAGTCCTGTGACTGCCTGTGACAACCCTGTACACTGGCTGATCAGGGGTCAAAACCTGAACTTATAAGGTTCCTGTGCGCGCACTGGTTATAGTGCCCTTCTCATATACCCTAAGGGTAGGGAGGGTCACTATAATCAAAACTAAAGTAGAAAGATATGGGCTGTTATTAATATAAGTGACAATTTTCTTTTGACATATTATTGTGGAAGTTGTACATTTCTAACAAGTTTATCGTACATTCTCATCTGTAGAGCGATCTGTTCGTTTTTAGTCAAAGCCTGTTTTGTTATGGTTAAAAGGACAATACATTTTTCAAATAAAATTAAAAAAATTGTACAAGAAATTTAAAGTTGTCAACCATAAAACTAACCTAAAACATTCATTTTTAATTCAATAAAACCTCACTATTAGTCAACTAAATCTACGTCAATAGGTTCATCAAAATAGAGACTCACCGCCTGGTCCATGGGTGACCAATATCGAAGGTGGAGGCAGTTGGATTTTTGGCTCAGACTTGCGATTCACAAAGTATTGTGAGAGGAGTTTGCTGCGGAGTTGATTTCCCTGGACAAATTATGATTTGTTTAATACAAATAGTGGAAGAAGGAACCGGTAAATTTTTCAGAAAGTATTAAAACTGAACCGTAATGGATATATTTTTGTTTAGTAGCAGTAACGCTCCTTGTAAAAGAGTTCATCCAGGGAAGTACTGCCGCCAAGCAGTAATGTGAGCACTACGTTCCGATTTTGAAGGGTAAGGGTGCTGATGAAATTACTGGCACACAGGACTTGTCAACTTATGTCTCAGGGTGACGGGCGCAGTGGTAGTGCCCCTCAGATCAGTAATTTAAGCCTCTGAGTGGCACTACAACTGTTATGGACAGGTGTGTCGCTTACCACTAGGCACCCGACTTGTTCGTCCTGTCACTTGTATCATAAAAAAATATCCAGTCAACAAAAAAATATTTTATTCAAATAAAGTTTTTCAAGTCCTCAAAAACTATGTTTAAATGTAATCGACTAAGGACGCGTGAAGTCATAGGTAGACAAATAAACTGATCAATACAAAATATAATAATACAGGTATGGTAATTCGTAACGCAGCAGCGCGGTTTTAATCATAAAAACAAATGTACAAGATAGGAATTGTTACCTTTTCTCCGTATTCCGGGTCGGAAGCCATCATCTCTCGCAAAGTCCTAAGCACTTTTACGCAAAGCTTCTCTTCTTTTTCTTCTAAAAGTTTCTCAGTGTGGCGGATAAGTCTGAAAGAAGTCATATTGCGTTATATTGGAAGTTTTATCACTGCAACATATCTTAGTATGTGAAACAGAGTTGACACTTGGAATGTCGTTGTTGTGTTTTTCTATCAAATTCCTTTTGGACAAATGATATCTATTTTACAGTAATATTAAATTTCAGGACATCATCCATTGGAACCTCCAGAGCATTCTGTTTTAATGAACTTGTCAAAAAGCCCATACGTACTATCAGCAAAATTGACGCCTTAAAACAGAAACGGTTCCTTTTGAGTGCAGGCCACCAAGGTCTGTAGTCGCCATCCGCAGTTTCTTTATCAACCATGTCTTTTAAAGGTTAGATCACATTTTCATTATAAATAACAGGTTTTCAAAAAAAAAAGGTCAACCAGCTCAACTTGCAAGCTAAACAGTTTTGAGACAGGTAAGGCTCCAAATTTGCTGATTGTAGTACTTCATTGACAGTCATAACCACAGAACAATAAATACAGTAGAAGAGATTAGTTAGCGTCCGAGCCATGCCAAAAATAGGTCTCTAAAGATCTATTTGTTGTGTTATTCTTTCGTGGAAATCCTCTAAAATCCTAGAAAAATACCTTATTTTGTTGTTTTCGAGTGCAAGAATGAGAGCCGCATCAAAAATGTTACCCGTGGTAGTATTTCATATAATCGGAAAGTCTTACTTTAATAAATTTTCAATTTTCTGTTTATCGAAATATTTTTTTTTATTACAAGAAACTAAAGTAAAGCTTATACCCCTGCTGGTCGCTTCTTTTTTGGAGAACTAAATTAATAACTCCAATTCGTCGTCGTTCAGCAATTAACAGCACATTGATTGAAATTTCAATATAATATCAAAACATCGTAACTTGTAATAATAGGTATTGACGGTATTGAACTGTAAGGATATGTCAACAAGGCCAAGTTTAAATTATATTAACAATCCAGAATTTGTTGTTTCTTTTTAAATTTCAAACTACGACCATACAATATCAAGATTTTGCAATATTTCAAATTAAGAATGTGTGAGTTTTGGCGACATCGGTTCAGGTAGTAATCGAGGCTTAAGGAACTTCCATTGTTTTCTTCTTCCGTGGTCATAACGTAACATTATCCACGAATACATGTCTGTCAAGTGTACAACCTGGATATAAATATGCCGCTAGTTTCTGTGTGCGCTCGCTCTCCAGGACTGGCGAAAAGTAAATGTGGCTTATACAGAATGTCCACCAGCAGAGACAGCTCCGCCTGTAGTAAGGGACGGAGTTGCTCCTCAAGAAGGGATACGATTTCTTGCAGACCCTCCATTACTGAGCGGTCGTTTTGGAGATTTGACTGAAAAAAAAATGCACTGCTGTCAATAACTCCCGTCAAAAGTCGAGCAAAGTAATTAAAAATATTATCAACTTTGATAAAGATGTCACGCGAGTCTGGTACCGCCGAAGCATGTCCTGTAGGTTTTTTCTCGGTCCAATGTGGCCTTGAGAGCCCTGGTGATGGTGGTACAGATTTATAATAAAATTTCTTGATGTATTAGGTTTACGGTAGCTTCGACATTTGAACTTTTCCACAAATGTGTGTGATGTATGTGCACAAACACGTTACATTGTTATAAAACAAACATAAGACAATTTTGACATTCAATAAAATATAAATTTACTAGAGGAAAACACGTCCTCTGACTTCGAAAATTTAGTATGGAGTGATACATGATGAGAGATAGCAAGTCCACTCTGTTGGATAATTTTGATGGGAGTGACGACGGAACGAAGCAAAGTAAGAATGAGGAAGAAAAATAATTAAAGAACGATTCAAAATATCAAAAATGGAACCAGAGATAAGGGTAATAAAAAGGTGGGATGACGATGAAAGAGGTTGCATCGTTACAAAGAGGCCTACAAAGCTTACCTGTGACGCCATCTTTTCAAGCTTACTCGTCTTAGATGCAAGCAGCCATTTGCTAGTCTGTCTGGAGCGCGCGGCGGCCAAATCAAACACATTCTGGATTTTCTCTTCGAGTTCTAGTGGTATTGCTATGCTGCGGGTTTTTGCTGTGAAAAAATAATATACCAACTATACGCGGCTCAGTAAAAAGATGTATTCAAACTACAGGGATGCTTTTCTCTATAAGTTTCAACTTTTTTACTTTTAGTTGAGAGATCGATCGGTCGAATCAATATGGCGGCACGTACCGATGACTGTAATGTGTAAGTCACGTATACTTTGTGAAAGTTTAGGTGCAATACCTCTCGCTAACGGTGACGAAAAACATAGTAACGGAACCTACAGGCCGAAGAAGATTTACAACCCTTATAAAACGTGTGAAGTCTCTCCCGCATTTGGCCAGCATGACTCCGTAAAGGACCAATTGACATATTCACTTTTCGTTATCTAGTCGTTCAGTTGGCGGGAAAATAATAACGTCATTTGATTGCAAATAATTCGTTTATGCATTTTTCACAGTAATTAGCTCGAAACTACAGAAGATAGATCAGGTAAAAACGGATTTTAAATGTCACGCGGCAAATTCACAGGGAGCGGACGCGCTCGGTTGTTCGCTTTTTAAGTAATTCGCACAAAAAGCACATCTTGCACATCACGCAATACCCTTCAATTTAACCTTATTTTAATATGGCTAGCCTGCCAACGATCACCATGTCATAGCACCATGTGAGAGGACCGACTAAATTGAACAGATTTAAACGACACCAGCGCCATGTCCTCTGCGACCTCACTGAGTTTGAGTTGACAAACTCACTTGACCTTTATAAACAACAAGATCATGATCGAGACTGGTTAATGCGATTTCTAGACAGTTTAAAATTAGCTAAGATTTATCCTTTTGTAAAGCACACGTAAACAATAAACCGTTATACGAATACATTACGTTTGAAGTGATAACAGGCTCCGATATATATCGACCCCTTCGACATAAAGTATCGTATGTCGAAATTGCCAAGTTTACAGAGAAGCGTTTTAAAGATCTGAATTCATTGATGAACATAACACGTGACTTTAGCATTTCTCAGTTTTATTCGGCAAAGCTCGTTACTCACATAGAGTATTATACAATCCTAGATATCGGTTAGATGATCTATGGTGATCACTCTTTCAGTGAATTCAGAACTTTAAAACGCTCCTCTGTAAACTTGGCAATTTCGACATAAGATACTTTACGAGGGGTCGATATTTCAGCCCGATAAAATGTGAGGTGAAAATCATTAACATTGAAATCGCGTTTGTGCTTTATTCGATGTTATTTAATACTTACCAACTTCACTCAAAGTCCGTATGCACTTCTCAACGTTCAATTTCTGTGCGGGCGTCAACCAGGGCCGATATATACGGAAAGTCGTCTGTAGAAGCTTCACGAATATCGACTGGCGAGTCTGTAACACATACGGTTTAGTTTTAGATGTATTGTTTAATTTGCAGTTTACATTAAGTTAGTCCATATAGGTACTTACAGGACATGATTGATCCAATGGCGCATTAACAAAAATCATATCATCAGAAAGAAATAAATAGTTAAATTAACCATGATTGTCTTCGTTTACAATTTCAGTGGTCATGTTCCGGCTATGTCCGACAGAAAACACAGGAAGAGACTGATAAACAGCACTGTACTGAGGTTTCATTCTTTTCACCAACACATTAGTAATCGATACTCTTTTAATTATCACAATGTCTATAGACATTCCAGTCCAGGAAAAAAAAAGCCGGCGGAGGAGAAATATGTGACAATTAAACTAATGGATGATGTATAGTTTATATTACCTGCACTGTGGTACTCTGGTCACTGAAGGGAGAGTTGAAGAATGTGCATATGGTATGCAGGAGGACGTCGGTCACGTAGTTTACCCACACGCTTTGCGACGCGCTGGGTGATTTCGGTGACGATGGACCGCGTGATGTTGATGCTGAAGAGAGAGTAAATTAGAATTCTGATAAAAATTTCCAACAAATGATATTATTTTGTGAATGAAAAAAGCCCCATACTGTTGGTTCTAATTTACGCATTTATAATTGAACGAGACAACAACATTGCGCCATCGCTACCCTACAGAAAATGGGGTATAGGGGCGCGATCTTACTCTAATATCTCCTAAATGATTCCGCATACAAACAACTTTCGTCATTTCAAATAGAACTTACATATTACGAGTGTTTCTTGGTCTTGTGTGTTTAGATTACCAAAGCCGAATAGCTAAAGTAAAATTATAAATAAACTCACCCTCTGAGGTAGTATAAGGCGCGCACTGCAACATGTGTTGCATGTCTTGTAGGAAAGACCGCTCGAACAGGTCCCACATATAGTTACTCGAGTATATTTCCTTCATTTCGACTTCTGTGTCGATGTAGCACTGGTTCAGGAAGCCTACGTAGGCTTCCTTAACCTGTAAAAGTTAAAGCAAGGTATCAGAAACTTCAAAGTCGTATTGTCAAGTTGTTTTATCTTTCTATAAGAAAAGAAAAACGCTAATAGACAATAAGTACATCACCAATAAATAGCACCGAGATTGAAATAACGTGCGTTACCCCGTCACATCATGTTTGCTCGCACAATTTACATAGGCGTTTTTCTTCAACACTCATACGATACATGGAAGAGATATATAAAGTAAATAACTTTTATTTTAATCGGAACTGCATGAACATCTCACTAACAATCCTATCAAAAATTATTCGCGAAACGCGATCTCCAAACATACAGATGTAATGAAAATTAGCTGTGATGCAATGTATTGTCACGAAATTTGATTGTTATCCGTTTTGTTATTACAAAAACTGACCTCAGGTATGCAGTCGGGGTGAGTGATTATAGTGACGATGTCATCCAGCGGCAGCAAACTGTGACATTTGATCTCCGTGTACACGTTCTTGCCCATCGTACAACATGTAAGCAATTTTACTAACTGGATGTGGTACCTAGAAAAGCACAGACTCTCTTAGTTATAGAAGGTAAAATTCCATAGAAGGCAATGAAGGCGGTAGCGAAATCGGAAAACATTTTAAAGAATTTAGGAGCAGTAATCCATCGTATCACTAAGTAACCCCAACAGTCAAAACTGGTACTCTTCACACACTGCTTTCTTTTTCTACTAAGACATCAGTATTCTCTATAATCTTACTTAATATCTACAAATCAAAATCAATCGTATTATTTATCACTTTGTGTCGTTTATGTCAGAACTTTAAGATTGACTTGGTACCCAAGCAACACTGGTCTACGTAGCAGTAGAGGTCCTTGTGAAAGAGTTCGTCCAGGGAAGTACTGTCACCTTACTTATTTCTCCAGCTAGCAGTAATGTGAGCATTATTGCGTTCCGGTTTTGAAGGGTTAAGGGTACTGGTGAAATTACAGGCACATGGGACTTGTCAACTTATGTCTCAGGGTGACGGGCGCAGTGGCAGTGCGCCTCAGATCTTTGCGATTCGAAATTCTGACTGGCACTGCAACTGTTATGGATAGGCGTGACGCTTGCTGGAGCACTACTTGTTCGTCCCGACACTTGGTGTTATAATAGAAAAGATGCAATGAGTGAGGGGAATATTTATGTAATACCTACACCCGTCCCGTCGTTTGATATCATGAACTCTTCAGACGGTATGAAGCCCCCCAACATGTATATTTTATGAGATGACATTGATAAATCGAGATTAGAACTGACCGTAAAGGTTCCGGCATCTCGCCGGTTTCTTTGTACTGCCTCATCATCTGCAGGAAAGATTGGAAGGACACCTTGTCGTTGTAGAACGCTAACACGTCCTCGCCCGCGTTCACCATCTACAAAATTTAATACATTATGAAGTAATCTGATTTCGAATGAATGCAAACTAATGAATCTCTATTTATCGTCATCAGTGTCGATAAAAGAATAAAGATTAAAGGTTTCGTGGTTATGTAAAGTATTTTTGGAAAAATATTGGGAGGTATTCTCAGACCTCCTTCCCCATTTGACTATACCAACGCTGGAAGTAGGCATAGATAATATATGGGGTGTCCCACTAGTATGCGCCACGGAAGGAGGGAAATTACTTTAGATATAGTAGATAGGGACACGGGGGGGTAATTACATGGTAAAATATTGTAGATAGGATATTTTGTTTCATGGAGACATTATTTTATTATTAATTATATTGTGTTTACACTCGAGTAATTTCTGCAGAGTTATTTTATGTCAGTTTGTAATAGTGTATTTCTGTTGGTTAATCTAATATATAAATAAATACTAAGCGGGAAACTCAAACTGGCAAAATCCCAAAAGGGTACCGCCAGTAAGAAAAAAGAAGAAAAATTAGATTTTGACCCAAAGATACTAGAATATAGTAGAAGCCGTCTCCTTGTCATTGGCACGATTATAAACCGAAGAAATTGCAAATTCGAATATTTTAACATATATATCTTCACTCAAATACATCCTGCACAAACATACCCCACACAAGCACACCCTCCACCCACGCAGGCGCAGATTTCTGAGAACTGTCATTATTGTAACATGTGGTTAACTATAATTAGTTCCACTCTACTGGTATATTTTCTTGATTGTAAATCACGTGATAATAGCGGGCTTTACACAGACACTCTATCGCACGTGACACAGCAATCGTATGCGATTGCGCGTGCAGGTTTTCCCGCGCGTAATCCTGTATTGCTCCTGCGTCCTGATTTTGATTCGATCGGTTAGTCTCAAAAGCAGATGGGTTTCTGAGCGAGAAGATAAACCTGATTCCCACTACATCTTTCTAATTTGTGAGTTAAATCAACTAGTGTTCCAATTAGAAATGTCAAAGTTTCCGATCGGCCAATTGTGAATCGCAATTATTCGCCTCGACTCGGAAAAAACGCAGTTTCCGACCGGGAGAGGCAGTTAGAATCAAGCTGCTGATCACGCGCGATAGACTAACAGTGTAAAGGCGGCTAATGAATAAGAATAAGAAAACTTTATTGTGTACAGTTGTCTACAATGTACCGTTGTTAACCCGAATATAATAAAAATGAATGAATGGAGAGCCGAACTCACCTCCTGCATGACAAGGTCCTGGCTGCGTCTAATATACTGCTTGTCAGCGTGTACGATAGTTTGCAGGAAGTGCAGATATGCGGTGTGCCGCCCGCGAGTCTCGATGCAGTGGACGAAGTGTGCCACCACCTTCTCATTGCCCTCGTGAGCGCACAGCGTGGGGTTGTCTTTGAATATAGCACACACGGTTTGCGCTTCACGAATCTGGGACAATTAACGACGTAGATGTTATTATACAGCTGTAGCACTCTCATCATTCCGACACCTCCTGTTCGCTCTACATCTAATTCTCGCGGAGGAACTACAGCGGACACCATTCTACGAGGCTTTGCCGTACAATAATATTATTTTTGTGAAAGTGACAAAAAAAGGTTAAAAATTGATAACGTACGTGGCATCAAATGTGTCATTTGGCTGGTGCGCAATGTAAGTAAAGTATATATGATATAAAAACAAATGCAAGGTTTTATTTCTTACATTATCTTTTCCTTTGTTTCAATCAGAAGAGTGATAAAGTTGACATTTATCAAATTTATATATTTTTTGTACGAAATAAGTTGTCATGAAATGTGTGTGTGAAAGAAGACAACTTTTGGGAAAATAATTACCGAATTTAAGTTTAAATTTGCAAAAAAAACGAGTTTCATTTAATGACGGCATTGTTTCCTATATAGTAATAAATAGAAGTCAAACTATAATCTATTAGCGATCCCAGACGCTATAATGAAGAATAATTAAATATGATATTGTTCGCTTGTGAAAGGGAGACAACATGATCACTAACTCCGGCGTTCAGGAAAAGATCGAGGTGTTTGTGCAACAAGGCCTGGTTCTGCTGATTGCCGTCGCAAAAGTGCTGTAAGAACTCGTGCGCGAGCGCCAGCAGCTCGTCCATTGCATCGTCGTCCTCGTCGTGCGGCACCTACATGGAAACACAAAGCACGTTAACGAGTAATGTACTGTCTAAATGAAATTACAAACAATATTATGCAAAGCGATATTATGATACAGATTCAGGCTAATCGGGTGACAAAAATCTATGACTGTGATCTGTTTAGCTCTATCATCATGCTTCTACCTAAGATATTTTTAATTAATAATAACGCACACACTCATAGTCCCGCGCTAGGGAAACCCTGTATCGCAGGTGCCACAGACACACACATAGACAACCAATAGTTACACCCAAACTCATGAGAGAAATGGTGGCCATACAAATAAATATTTCTCCCGGCACGGGAATCGAACCCGGGAACTCTGGCTGTCCAGCATGGTAGCCGTTAATTATTTACAAAGAGCATCCCTTCGAGTTTCTTATAATTAATATTTTTTATTTTTTATTTTATGTATTATTAATATTAATAAATATGTCATTTTGCAATTTCGTCCATTAAAGCAAAACTCAAGTTAAACTGGTCGATTTGAAGTGAAACAATTGACGACAACCGTCAATTGTTTCGAATTCGGGCTGGCCAATCGGAGCGCAGTCGTCACCGTAATGATATTGCAGAATAGTTACACATTTTAAACATTTTAGGCACTAACATTATAGCAAATATTAATTGGGACCCTTCCAGGAATCCGAACAATTAAGGGTGTTCCTTAAGAACGCGTAATGAGAGAGATTCAGATGATAAGGGGTCCGTAGTTTCTAACTATAAGTCTCGTGTGCCTGTAGTTTCACTCACTCCTACCCTTCAAAACCGGAACACATTAATGCTCACGTTATTGCGTGACGGCAAAAATTGTAATAGCGGCAGTACTTACCTGGACTTGTCCAGGGAACTCTACTGCCACTCAATGTTAGTCACAATTTTAGCCTTGTAAAGAGTTCGTGCAAGGAAGTAGTCATGTGAGCATTACTGCGTTCAGGTTTTGAATGGTAAGGTTATAAGGATACTGGTGAAATTACTGACAAATGAGACAAATTCAAATAATCATTTATTCCGAGGTAAAATAAATTTACACTTGAAAATGTCACTTTTAAGCTACTGCTCGTTCATTGTGCTGACTTCCCTGAGAAGAACGAGCACGCAACTGTTTTCAAATAAATAAACATAAATGCTATGGAATACACTTTGAATCAAATTGGTATAGAATCTAGAGCCATGTTGTCTTTCAATACGTTCTAAATCTAAAACATAGTCCTCAATTTTGTAATATGACTATTCAATTAAAATATTTTTAATGCAGGTTTTGACCTTAGGAAATGATAATCTTAATATATGCTCTGGAATCTTATTGTAAAAACGTCTACAGGTCCTCCTTAAACGAGTCGTTTACCTCAGTTAAACCATGAGTTTGGACTTAGTTCTAAGTTTAATATTACGGATATCTTCTTTATTAATGAAATTATGTATATCTTTACAGTCACATAAAATATTTGAGTAAATGTACTATGGTGCCACAGTCATGATACCAGTCTCCTTAAACTTTTCTCCGAGAGAAACGTGAGAACCTAAACAGTACACAGAACGAATCGCTCGTTTTTGCAATACAAATATGGTTTGTATATCTTTTGCTTTACCCCACATGAGAATCCCGTAGGACATTATACTATTGAAGTAATTGAAGTAAACTAGGACATGTTAAGTTTATGTCTCAGGGTGACATGCGCAATGTCAGTGTTCTTGAGATCTTTGTGATTTAAAGCTCTGAGTGGCACTCACTTGTTCGTCCCGTTCCTCGATATCATATCATGAAAAAATCACGGTGATAATCACCTGCAGTAAGTCCAGGACAATATTATGTACTCCGATGTTTCGTAACAGTCGCTGCTCGTGGCGCCGTCGTCGACTCGTAGGTGGCTCACCCGACCCACTATTGCCTTGTGTGCAGTACTTTATCATTCTTTGTAGAATCTATAAAGTAAATTGTATAATTTATTTTGTCTACTCCTATCATCGAGTATATAACCAGAAATAGAGACGAAATAAGGGCCATATATTACTGGTAACTCATCAGTGATACATCATTTATAAATATCAACTCTCGTTTGCACTGAAATTAGAAAGCTGAAATAGTACACCGCCCACAACTGACCTGTACGTCTCCGTATATTCCAAAAATATTCCGTATTTATTGTAAGAAAGATAATATCTCTAACAATGGCGTGCTGTTCCGTTCGGTGGTGTGGGGAAAAACAGCAAAACATCTAATCACAAAACAAACGGAATCAAATATGTAATTTTGCAATATCATCCATTATTGCAAAACTCAAGTTAAACTGGTCGATTTGAAGTGAAACAATTGACGATACCCGTCAATTGTTTCGAATTCGGGCTGGCCAATCGGAGCGCAGTTGTCACAGCAATGATGTGTAAAACAAATTAAATGACATTTTGTCTCTATTTCTGGTTATGTACTCGATGAATCCTATTCTTTAATTTGTCAATTATAACGACCCCTCCTACGTAAAGTATCGTATGTCGAAATTGCCAAGTTTACAGGGAAGCGTTTTAAAGTTCTCCGTTTTATTCGGCAAAGCTCGTTACTCAAATAGAGTGATCATCTAATACATCCTCTAACTGATATCTAGGATTTTATAATACTCTACGTGAGTAGCGAGCTTTGTCGAATAAAACTGAGAAATGCTAAAGTCACGTGTTGTGCTTATTTCAGTGAATTCAGAATATTTAAAAGGCTCCTCTGTAAACTTGGCAATTTCGACATACGATACTTTACGTCGGAGGGGTCGATAATTTAATAAACCATATCACTAAGGCATGCACGTAATTTCAGTTAAGAATCAAAATTCTATTGTCTATGGTACTCGCTACTGACCCACAAATTTCTAATAAATCGTGATATAAAAAAAGAACGTCGTATTTTTGCTAATGAATGTGTATTAAAGGCGGTAAATAAGAATTACGAATAAGACTCTCTTAGAAGCCCGAAGTCAAAGACTGAGGACTGAGACTGAGGGCTTTCGGAGTCGAGGTTCGTAATTCCCGTACCGCCCGTGACATACACAACATTTTTCAACACATTCAACGTAAATAGTATAATTGCATACAGGCTAACTTGACTCTAATGCCCCAAATAAAACCGTTGGGCATTTTTCTTTTCATTACAGCCACAGTCGGGTACTGAGAAGAAAAAAGGCCCGAGGATTTTATTTGGGGCATTATAATTAAGTTGGCCTCCAAGCAATCATACAATTTAATGTCAGGACTGACTTTTATTTCCAATGTGTAACAGTCGCGAAAACTAAGAATTCAATCCATCTTATTTTTGCTCCTACATCACCTTATACACACTTAAAGTAAAAATACACAATAAACTGGGAAACAGGTTTTTACGCTTGTCTACAGTTCTGAAATAAATTTTTCACGTAATTAAGATTAAGATAACTACTGTTATTTTATTTTAGCAGCGCCTGACACAAAAGTAAAGTAAAGCAACGACCTGACCTTATGTGTTAAGGGAGAGCTTAATATTTTATAAGGCGTTTTGCATTCTCTCAATATTTCTAACAATTTAAATAGAAATTTATAAAGTCCATAACGTAATTACCTCTTTAATCTTCTTATATTCGTTATGGTCATGTTTGGCAGATTTGGAAGTGTCCAATACGTTGTCCATGGAGATGTTTCGCTCTAACATTGCGCCACCCGGACCAACTACGCTAGCTGTATTGAATAACAAAGATTGTATTAAAAAAATAATGTTACTTATCAATACACCCAGAAAACACGCCACAATATTGAAAGTCGAAACCGCCGCAGCTCGAATTACATTTTTTCCGTATTAATACGGTTCATTTTGTTTGGGTCGAGGGGCAAGGGCATTGGCTTTATTTCAGAAATTATTAATAAACAATATGAAATTTTTTCCGCCCTTTTATTTTCAAATACATTTGGTCAATAGGAAATACATAAATTTAAATGTTCTTTCACGGGAAGAGAGTACACGTTTTTCATCGATCCTGAAAAAACCCAGTTTTTTATTAATACACTATTGTATTAACAGTGCAATTTGTTTTTGCAGCTCATTCAGAGTGCAAGCGCGGGCAAGTAGGTATTGGCGTCTTCTCTTTCACAGTGCCGAAGCGGATATGAGCGGGTACATCGACACGTCGAAATCGCAAACAAACGCTAGACACACGAATAAGCACTGTGAAAGGTATGGGCGGACTGAGCCAATAGATCCAACCGCGCGACACACGATTTATTATTAGTAAAATAAGTTAGTTAATTAAAGAAATCTACAGTTAGAGAAATGGTCCACCTGATGGAAAGTGGTAAACGTCACCTATAGACATTTGCGATATTAAGGAAGTTTTCTTAAAATTGCAAATGCATTGACCGTTTTGTTACTCTTCAAATTAGAACATAGCAGTGTTGCCTTCGCCATTTCGACCGGTCCTCAATCGTCACTCCATCTGGCCAAAGGGGTTACACTACGTTTGCCGAGCCGTGGTATCCAATCAAGAACTCTCCTCCCCCATCGGCTATTGATTTTTCGACAGATATGGTCAGCCCACTGCCACTTCAGCTTGCTTATTCTACCAGCTATGTCGACGACCTCGGCCCTCTGTCGGATAACCTCGTTCCGTACCTTGTCCTTCAGAGAAACTCCGAGCATAGCTCATTCCATGACTCGCTGAACGACTTTTAACTAGTGGACTAACCGTATCGTGAGTGTCCACGTCTCGGCTCCGTATGTCATAACAGGTAGAACGCTGATCGAAACCCATTGTTTTTAAACTTTACGGTATGGGTATAATAATGATAGTAATGAGGAATAACCTCGGTGTAGTACTGACAAAAAGGATCGGAAATTAATCACAAAAACAATCTACTCACCGGTGTGTTCGTCTATAAGCGCTCGTCCTTTATTAAATACCCACAACTCTGACTTCTCAACGCTTTGTCGCAGGAGATCAAGATCTGCCTTGATCTGTTTGTAGGACTCTACATCTGCGTCTGACACTAGGAGTTGTACCTGTAATTTCAACAGGATGTGAACGATATGACTATGTAGAAAGAGCAGCCTTACTTGAAAAGAGAGAGCCCCTTACTGGAAAGAGAACTTCTTGCGATGTTTTGCATTGGTGGACTTTACATATCTGTAACATTTGCTTTTGAAATGTCTCGTCTCGTGGGCTCGGGGAACTTTTCCCGTACTAGACATTGTGTAATGTGAATACATTACAAACGTCTACGTCCGACCAACAGCCCTTTCCAAAATCTCTAATTTTGCCACACATACTACAATCAAGGTCAATAACATATAACTCGCTCATTATATTATAGTACTAAAATAACAGAATATTCCATATAATTTGGCACAAAACATGTACATAAGAGTACTATGACATATTATTCAATAAAAAATTAAGGTGAATTCATAAAAAACAAAATAGATTTTATTATTATAATATCTAATAAGGTTGGCTAAAAGGCTATGTTCCAGGCTGATAAACTATTTAAATGTCACTTCATGACGCGGGCTTTCAGATTTTTTAAAATATTTTTTTGATTCCATTTCTGTTCTGCGTTTCCTTTGATTCGTATCTCTGGTACTAGTAGTAGTATTATTATTTGTGTTTTTGATATATTCATCACGTCAATTGTTTCGAATTCGGGCCAATCGGAGCGCAGTTGTCATCGTGATTATTCGTCACATAATTTCAAACAAATAAAATGACATTTCGTCTCTATTTCTGGGTATATACTCGATGTTGTAGAATAGTATTCAACAATTTCAATTCAATTTCAAAGATTTCAATTCACGGATAAGAAAGGCTATAATATACAATTTTAGATTTTTTTTTAGATAAGTTATACAAATCCAACGTTACATAACTTGGGTCAAAACTGAACACGCCTTATAAAATGTTTTTCATACATATATATGGCTGACCTGTTTGAAAGCAGCCAACACCTCCTGTCTCTGGCTGAAGTGTCGAAAAAGTAATGCGAGCGCGCCCGAAACGAGCGCGGCCGAAGCGCCTTGCGAGCACAGCTGCAGCAGTACCCGCAGCACCATGCGCCCGCCGCATTCGTCCAGGTCGAGTCCGTCCCTATTTCCAGATAACTATATTAGAAGTATAGTAAGTACTACGACACGTAGAAGGGTACACACGGTCACAGCTTTAGTTATACAAATCCAACATAAACTGACATACCGGCCCCTTTAACTTGAATGGTCCCTCGAAAAGTTATTTACACAATTCAGAATTTCATGGTCGATGTTGTGAAGTAAACATTTGTAAATTACGTTCAATATTGGTTGTAGAATAAGTTGGTTACATTTGAGGTGTGTCGTACCTACTATTTTTTTAACACGCATCCATAGCCCCGCACTAGAGAAGCCCTGTATCGCAGGTACCATAGATACATTACACAACCAAAGTCAAAATACACCCAAATTCACGAGAGAAATAAAAATAGGTCATACAAATATTTCTCCCGGCCCGGGAATCGAACCCGGAACCTCTGAGTGGCAGTCCAGCATGTTAACCCTTCGGCCACAGAGGCAGTTTAGAACGTAGCTTATAAATGATCAGCAGTTTGGCAAATTGGGAAACAAATCTTATGTACAATTAGGTACAAAAGTCAACACAATGGTATCATATGGTATAAGTCAAAACAACACGTGCCTACATTACACACTCGTAGACCGAAATGACATGTTTTCCAAAATTTATTACGAAAATTATCGCACGAAGACAAGTTGTACTACTGGTTGTTGGATGTGCTGTGATTTCAGTAGGTAGCAATACTATCATTCAAAGTGCAAACTAAGGGTTGTATCACAGATGTAACCTACAGTCACAAAAGTCAATGACTTGAAGGTTAAAACATATCGATCATTACGAATACAAATTGATGTTTACGGCTAACAACAACTGGAATTAATTTTAACAAGACATATTAATCTCGAATACTTGGTCTAGGTTGTTTCTGTCATTTCGATCTATAGGGCTTACTAAAGTCATAACACATTACTACAGGGCATTATTACGTGGGATTCCCAATCAGATGGACTGCTTTTGTGGGCATCAGCGTAGAGGAAAACGCAGCGGCATTATTAAAAGGGTGCATTCATTCATGCGCAGCGAAGACGACACACGCTCATGCGTATCGAAGTGGAACCGTTCGGCGGTAACTGCACTTTAGAATCAGCGCGTATTCTGGCGCATTTTTTAAACCATCAAAATAGGCGACAGCGGCAAACGCTAATCGTAAGCATTACAGCTCCAATAACCTAACATCCGACACTCGAATCTTTCCCTTGATCATTGATTTGGATTCATAGACAACATTTGACTTTGTGCCCTCTAGTAGAAGTACAGGTATCCAAAGGTAACAGAAAGGTCAGACCATATTTTAAACTCGTGATAACAAACTTTTTTTAAATAAAAACAAAAATTTGGTTTATCGTAAAAATTAGTAATTCATTTTAACATTCGATTGGAATAATTACATGCGAAAATGTGGGTAACACAATGTCATATGGTGGTGAGAATTCAGCTTATTTTAATAAATCAGTCGGTCTTGTAGCAGTCCTATAGTAGTAGTAGAGCTCTTTGTGAAAGAGATCGTCCAGAAAAGTACTGCCACCTTAACTATTTCTGCCGCAAAACAATACTGAGTTCCGGTTTTGAAAGATGCTGGTGCTGGTAAAATTACAGACACATGAGACTTGTCAACTTATGCAGTGTCCCTCAGCTTTTTGCGGTTTAAAGCTCTGAGTGACACTGCAACTGCTGTGGACAGGCGTGTCGCTTAACACCAGGCGTATGACTTGTTCGTCAAGTCACTTGGTATCATAAAAAAACTCGCTAACTCCGGGTTTTATTTGACATTGCGAATCCAAACATAGTTTGTTATAAGAGTTATGTTATCCCCGAATGAAATACGCTCTGATCTATTTACAGCCTGTAAAGTAAACTCTAGGTCTATATCTACAAAAACAAATTCTAAGCCACAAAACGGTTAATTGTCACACAGTTTTATTTTCAGAGCATAGCGGTTAGTAAAGGGTTAGTTGCAATTTAAACAGGCAGGGTTCCGTAGACTGCCATGCCAGCAAACCATGCTAAATGTATATCCTTACTAACAAATCTACATTTTTGGGAAGGCAGCTCTCAGGCACTGTTTGAATCGCTCTGAAATAAGATATTTTATTAGTTCTAAGACTAGGTAATTGTGATTTTGTTTCTAGATATGGAAAAAGGAACTGAGTTTTAGTGATGCATATTTATTACATATAGTAACACACTGTTCGTTTTCGTATCCTTTGATGACTTCGAAGTCTAGAGGTTATCACTGTGAGCGCTAGATGAGAAGGCTCCTGGTTCAATTCCCGTTAAGGCCAATGAGAAAACGAACTTTTCTAAATTGGTTCTTGTCTGAACGTTCCGGGTAAGGCCTTGGAGTGATTTTCGTTAACATGGTACACCACTACAAGACTTCCGTTTAAATTTCGATTAGATTACTCCTGCACGCGACTGCACTTACTAGCAGTTGAAGCATACGGACTTGTAAGTACCTTATGCTTCACCCAAGTAGAGAACTAAGGTGGAGCACACGTGTTTGGACACTTGTTGATGTAGAATAATTTATATACAAAAACGTCGTGGCACTACTTGTTGGCTCAGACAAGACTTGAAACCACCCAACATAAAATGTTATTAAACTAACAAAAAAAATCCATTCTTCTCGGGTGAATTACTGGCTAAGTGCGTTTTACATGGAGGATAAAGAAATATTCTCAAACATTGACAATAAATACACTAATATGCAAGTAAATACACTCCTGTGACATTGTTAGTTTTTACAAATAACCCTGTATAACAATAAACTAATAGAATAGACGAGAAGATACACAATGCTCCACAAATAACGGGTATGACCTGAGATGGACAAGCGCCCGGGATTTAACCCAGCGCTTTGTTAATGCCTGGTTTAAAATGGATTAAAACCCGGTGCTTTGGATAAAAACCCGGGCAGGTTGATTGGGTTTTAAACCACAGCCCATCTCTGGGTACGCCTAAATTTAATCATTTTACAGCTCCGAGTTCGTAGGCTGGAATGAAAACGAGGTATACATCACCAAACTTCAATGCAACCCTTCTTAGGCTAAATACCAATGTGTTATATGTTATCTACAAATATACCCATAGCCCATGCGTTAGTAATTACTATTTAAACTTGCTTCATACGTTATGATCGTTCATCTATATGTAAAAATGTGTCACAAAAAAGCCTGTGCGCGCGGGGAGAGGTTAAAGTTAGTAAATATTTCTCCCCGCTCTCGACGGTCAAATACCAAGGTTATCTATATTTACAACATAGATTTAGTAACAGTAGAGCTCCTTGAGAAAGAGTTCGTCCAGGGAAGTACTTTCACCTTACCTATTTCTGCCGCCAAGCAGTAATGTCAGCATTACTGTGTTCCGGTTTTGAAGAGTAAAGGTGCTGGTGAAATGACAGGTACATGGGACTTATAAACTTATGTCTCAGGGTGACGAGCGCAGTGACAGTGCTCCTCAGATCTTTGCAATTTAAAGCTCTGAGTGGCACTGTTATGGATAGGCGTGTAGCTTACCATCAGGCTCACGACTTGTTCGTCCTGTCACTTAATATTATAAAAAAAATATAATCAGGCTTCTCTCCCACTGGAGTTGGCAGAGACCATGAACCTCAAATCACTACGCTCCTGATAAACCTCTTTCGCCTTCCCTCGCATCTGTCCCATCACATATACCCATTTTATTCTTGGTACTTTTGATTATTTTCGAGGTCATCCCCAATCTAATCGAGGTACGTAAGTACGCTGGCGCTAATCCGTGTGGCGCCCAGGTGCTATCAATAGAGCGCCCTCTAGTGGGCACGCGATCAAAATGGAATGCTTACGGTTATATTTTCCTCAGCGATCGGAAATTCGGATGCAAATGGTACCATTATAAACGATGGTGGGAGGTAATAGACCGTCGCGAGAGGCGGCCGTGTGCGCCGCACACCCTGCACCATAAGTAAAACCGGTGCAGTGTGCATAGAGTCTACCTTTCCCCACGATTTCATAAATAATATCTACATCTACAAATTTGTGCTGTTCATCAACTAGTACTCGTGCTTTCTACATGACCAAACTATCAAAGCATTCCCTCTTACGAGTATATCCTGGCAACTATATTATCTTTCAAACACTCTTACACATTAACAAACATGTTAAAAATAACTCTATTCACGCTTTCAGAATAGAAGCCTTAAGGGCTTTTCCCAACAACCATTCTTCCTACAAAATTAATCGACTAGAAGATACCTTGCCTATCGTATTGAGCATGGACGCTTTTAGCATTTTGCGTTATGCTACGGAGTCACTCGAGTCCATTATCAGGTAAATTCTTCTTTTATTTGTTGAATAAAATTGAACTATTTTTTCCGGAACTAAAAGCGTATATTTGTTTTTGTGTGTTTGCTCAAAGAAATCAGGATTTATAATAGTCCGGAAAAAATTATTTATTTTGATTTACAATGTATGACAATCGCGATAACCTAACAATTCTATGTTCTTGAATAAAACGTTACTTTTTTGTACACATTATCGTAATAATTACTAATTAAGCTCATAAATACAAAATGTACAACAATACTACAAAGGTTTCGGTAATTGACTAAGTGTAAACAAACCGTAATGAGGTATTTTATGAGGCATTACCTGGTTACTTATTGTAAAATTATAATGAACTTTTTGAAAATGGTTCTAAATATATGATAATATTTTCAGCTAATAGACAATATTTCGGATTGCCTATTTAAAATACTACTAAATACTTAAATCTACACGGCATAGATTAAATATTTAAAAAAGATGTTTAAAATCATATATCAGGATAAACAACCTAAAAATCCAGAAGTTCGAAACCTTTGAAAAGATAGACAGTTAATAACATGGCACCAAATTAAAAAGTATGGGAGTAAGTGCATTTTTTTTTATTTTAGAAAGGGTACAATTTTCTTAACTAAACGTAGTCCTACAAAGCTGTATATACAGTTTGACTGCAGGATCGAAACGAGTCTATATCGAGCAAAATTTTACAAACTGCCGCAATCTATTCAACAAAAATTTGTGACATAATTATCTTTCAACATTTTCTTAAATTTACATTTTCTAGTTCCATGTCTAATTACCTCTGGTAAACTGTTTAATATGTATGGAATGCATAATTGTACATATGGAATAATTTGACCAGTTAACTCGACGCCATTGCAACTACGCTTGCTTTGCTTTGTGATAGCTGAAGTTTGTTTATTTTTACTTAATTAGTAACCTTTATACTATACATCCATCAAATCTTTAAGATGTCATAAAAAGACATTGATTACGGTAAATAAATAGAAACTACGGAATAGCTAAAGACGGCCCGGCTAATGTGACAATTTGAATGTTCCCAATGGTTAACACATAAAGACAGAGTACAGACAACTCACCGACAGCTAAAAATGCCTTCAGCCTGTAGTCCAATGGCCTCGACGTCAGCACGCGCGAGACTGTCAGCGTTGCGGTCGCCAGCCTGTTCGAACTCCTTCTTGAAGATAGACAGCAGACAGCTAATGCGGTAATCTAACCGCACGTCCAGGATGAACTACAAAATAAATTAATGGTGTGGTGTATTTAGAATAAAGGTGCGCTACCGCCCATTCGTTTCCGCCATTACGATGCTGGTTATATCGGGATGAACGGACGTATCGCACGTGCCGTTAACGCTAAACAAAGTGGTGTAGACATCACAAATAGTAACAGAATGGAATACCTGTAGGATCTCGATGATCTTCAGCTTGGTGTCCATAACGAGAGGGTGTTCGCGGGCCAACACCAGGGCCGATGCGCTGCGTTGCATCTGCATGCCGGTTGCGCCGCCGCCGCTGCTCGTACCACTCACCTGCATGTTCATTATATATTACGAATTATTGAACCTAACTTTCAGTTACATGACAGTGTATTCCAAAGCATTTAATTTAGTTTGAAAAGAGCAACCCCTAGTGTCTTGCTCGTTCTTCTCAGGGAAGTCAGCACAACGCAATGGTTTGCAAAATGACGTTTTCAAGTGTAAATTTATTTTACCAGTGGAATATACTATGATTCTTTGACTTTGAAACTAAATAAAAACCGACCTCAACAGTTCGTGGAACTATATCTATTTGCCAGGTTTTATTGAAAGCGGTTATCGGAAAGTGCGCGAAACGGATTCATACCCTAGTTTGCCACCCTTAGAGATGGAATATTTTCTTCAAATTTAAATGGAACTACTACTAAGGTACGCTTTTCAACAAAAAAGAATCATCAAAATCGGTTAACAATTGCCGGAGTCATCGCGTAACATACATACAAAAAAAAAACAGTCGAATTGAGGACCTCCTCCGTTTTTTGAAGTCGAGTAAAAAGCCAAATCAATTACGTACATATGTATTAGCAGTGTACATTCGTACACGGATATTACAAAAAAAAAATCAGTGACAGTTTTCAAGGAACCTCAAGAATAGAGGATAAAGAGATATAACAAAGCGTTCAACTAACGTTTCTAGCAACAGAACCGAGTGTGATCGACGTCATAACTGCTCCCATGTCGCCAATGCTGCGCAGTACGCCGCCTTCAGCTGCAGTAAAAGAAACAAATTCTATTAAAAAAATATATATTTCCGGTTTTGAGTTTTTTTTACTTACATTCATAGCCCCGCACTTAGGAAATAGGAAGGGAAATAGGGGAATAGGGGGTGACATCGACACACACACTGACAACCACAAATTACACCCAAATTCACGAGATAAATAAATGTAGGCCATACAAATATTTCTCCCGGCCCGGGAATCGACCTCTAGCCTCTCGACCTCTGCGCGGCACACCAGCATGGTAACCGTTCAGACACGGAGGCAGTTATTATATTTATTATTATTTTATTTTCTATAAGTCTTAAAGGTTTATAAAGTCTATTTTACTGGAGCGCAGCAAGAGCTTTTATGCATCCACTCGAACTGCACAATATATTTATGGAATCATTTGGTCACTACTTAACCTTTAAGCATGAAAATTAAAACTAGAATAAAAAACACAATTCTACAGGTTGTATCATCATCATTAGCCTATCACAGTCCACAGCTGGACATAGGCCGATCCCAACGTGCACCATCTGCTGCCAGTAACCTTTCGGCGCGGGTCGGTTCGGGCGCACGCGCTGTCTGTGTGTTTGACACTTTAATTGTAAATAATAAGAAAAAGCTATGTGCTTCGGCTCGGTGGATTTTAGTTCTTTTTATAATTTTCTGAAATGCATCGATAGCGTCATTAAATGCTCTAGGGGATCGGTTGATATACAATGATCAAAATCACTTACGTTTTTGTAACTCGTTTTCCTGTGCTGCTTGCAATTAATAAAACGTATAAACACTACACGTAGGTACGCAAATATAGATGTCTGGGAATAGAAGGATGCTTATTTTATTGGATATTTTACGTGGTCAACAGGGTTAAACAAAGGAAAAGCACGTAAACAAGACGCATGTCAAACATGGGTCCATAGGATCCTCTGCTAAACATGTGTCCTCAATCTATGTCCTAAATCCTCTTCGTACAATAGATTGATGACGATGTTGTGAAAATATTTTTGTGAGGACGTTTGCGGAAAATGATGCCGTTGGACATTGTCTAAATCACCAAATTCCCCCATAATCCTGATATTTCAGATACCCGATCACAAATTGGAAACCACACTTACACTCGACTTCTCCTGAAAGATCGTTGGTCTCATTGAGCAGGTCCATGGAGGTGACGCAGTCCAGGATGCTTAGTAAGGTTTTCGTTAGACGCAGCAGATCGCTGAAACTGCATGTCAGAAAACAAAGCACCATTTTAGTTTTGTGCCATTTTAGTTCAGATCGTTGTCAGTCCGATTACTGCCATTCCAGTATTGTAATCTATTATTTTACACACCAACTTGAAGAGTGTCACTAGTCAAAAATTATAATCATTTGGTATTTGGCATACTGAAACTTCTGTTTAAAAAACTGTAGAAAATTATGGCAACATTACAATCAATCAATCTGAAGTTGGCTAATGTCACTTTTGACGATTAACCAATACAGTATTTATTCGAAAACAAAACTGGCCGCATTTCTCGAAACTGATACTGGCCCAAGTCTAGTGGCCGCCATTAAGGAAATAATAATAACGTTTATTTAATAATAATAACGCACACACTCAACATGTTGTTTTATATTTATTTCTCATAATATTATATATTACTAGTAATATATTACTCTATGTAAATGTATTAAGTTAAATAATATTCAATAATATATATTTATAAATTCGTGTTACATGTTTGTTCTGTTTATTGTTTTAGATTCTCACCTGAGTATTTCCGTGGACCCATCCATCAACACCAGTTAATGTCACAATTGAGTGTTTTTTTTTTTTAAATTATTTATTCATTATCATGTAATGATGGAACCATATAAATGAAAAGTGAAGTGAACCTTTACTTTTTTTACTTGTCACATAATAATAAAGCTCGTGTAACAGAGTTTGTCCAGGGAAGTACTGCCACTACACCTATTTCCGCCGCCGAGCAGTAATGTAAGCATAACTGTATTCTGGCTTTGAAGGATACGGGTGCTAGTGTAACTACAGATCATCGAGCATATAACCAGAAATAGAGACGAAATGTCATTTAATTTGTTTGAAAACTATTCTGCCATATCATTACTGTGACAACTGCGCTCCGATTGGCCAGCCCGAATTCGAAACAATTGACGGGTGTCGTCAATTGTTTAACTTCAAATCGACCCGTTAGCTTTGCTATAATGGACGAAAATTGCAAAATTACATATTTAGGTACCGATGAAATTTGATTCCGTTTGTCTTGTAATTAACGCACACACTCAACATAACCCCGCACTAGGGAAACCCTGTGTCGCGGGTGCCATGGACACACATATAGACAACCACAAATTACACCCAAACTCACGAGAGAAATAATTGTAGGCCATACAAACATTTCTCCCGGCCCGGGAATCGAACCTGGGACCTCTGCGTGGCAGTCCGGCATGGTAACCGTTCGGCCACGGAGGCAGTTAAATTAGATGTTTTGCTGTTTTCCCCACACCACCGAATGATAATGTTATCTTTATTACAAAAATACAGAATATTTTTGGAATATACGGAGACGTACAAACAGGTCAGTTGTTGGCGCTGTCTACTTTTCAGTGCAAACGAGAGTTGATATTTATAAGCGATGTATTACCAGGAATGTATGGCCCTTATTTCTTCTCTATTTCTGGTTATTTTCTCGATGCTACAGGTACATGGGAATTGCCAACTTTATGCCCCAGGGTGAAAAGCACAGCGCTCCGTTGCAATGCCGGGATAATGGATCCTTGTCACCAATGGCACTGCAGCTGTTAAGTATTTGCTACAAATTATTGTCTCAAAAAGTAATACTGTAGTTGTGTATCTATAGGAACTTACGTATTTAAATGCTTTAGCTATTTAAAAACGAAATGTGAGACAACCTACCGATCCCTACAACGTAAAGTATCGTATGTCCAAATTGCCAAGTTTACAGGGAGCGTTTTAAAGTTCTGTGTTCGCTAAAATGAGCATAACACGTGACTTTAGGAGGAGGAGGATGAGGACTAATTCGCAGCGAGTGTGGAGCGTGCATAATGAAATTACAAATAAAAACAAATGGTACCTGTAAAAACCGAAGTAGATGAGTTCCCTCGCGAGCTTAACCACCTCAAATGTCAGTTTATTCTGATCATGATCGCTAAAATACCATGTCCTGGTGACCACGTTGCATAGGTAGTCTTCTACGAAGCGAATTGTGGACGCGAACTGTTCTTTCACCTTCTCGCGGTTTGCATCTGGACCGCCTTTTACGCACTGATAACTGAAATATATATTAGTTGTTGCTGATTTTTGAAATTATTTTGTAGTTTATTAGTAACTTAATAAAATAATAATTGAATCTTTTTTATTTTGTCTATTATTTGTGCTTAAACTATAGTCAATACATCGATTCTATCTTCTTTATAAACTATCTCGATAAGACATTTAAATCTATTTTATTTTCATTCGATTTTAGAACACTATATCTCTAGAAACTTTAATTCTCAAACGTGACCATATCCATGCTATGTGAAATGGACTTTAATTGACTTATCCCCCGTCCCGTTACTATCAACTTCTTCCTAACGTTAGTCCACACTCCCTTTATGCATGTGCTGTGTAAATTTATTTAAAAAAAAAGCAATTTGTTTCTGTAATAGTCTGTGTAGGTTCTCTGTCATTGTAGATTCTCCTCTCAGTGAATTCTGTCGAAATTCACCGGTCAATTTGAATGAGTAAAAAAGCGTGTGTTCCTCAACTTGACATTGGCTAAATCATCGATTAGTTCGATAGGGCCGTAACATTTAAAAGAGAAGAAGAAAACTTACTCGTGAATATGGATGCGATCGCAGACCTCCGTCCAGAGCCTCGCGTACTTGACTGGTGTTACAGGCTCCTGTGGGTCGCGGTCCACGTGCAAATGCAACATAAGACGGCAGAACGACGCGCGCAAATCGTATGACAGCTCCGCGTTTGACATGCATCTATAAGCAAAAGGGATAATGGTTACATTTTACTTAGTTCTTAGTTCTCAAATAGGATTTTTTTTCACTAGGGAAACCCTGTATCGCGGGCGTTATGATAGACATCCACAAATTACACCCAAACTCACGAGATAAATAAATATAGACCATACGAATATTTCTCCTATTTCTCCGGACACGGAAATCGAACCCGGGATCTCTGCGTCGCAGTCCGGCGTGGTAACCGTTCGGCCACGGAGGCAGTTAGGCTGATTCGGGTCTATAACACGGTTTTAGTCCTATCTTGATGTATGCATGCGAAGCCTGGACGCTGACGTTGAAGGAGGAGAACAAGCTCCTAGTCATGGAAAAAAATCTTTAGGATGATTCTGGAACCAACGAGGGAAGAAGATGGAGCATGGGGATAAGAAAAATGTAGTGATCGAGGATCTGGTAAACGAGGCTAACATTATGGGAGAGACCATAAGCCCGACTTCGCTGGCTTGACCACGTCAAGAGAGCATATCTGAGGCAACCGCCTGGCAGAAGGCCGATTGGACGTCCTAGATATCGCTAGGTCGACCACAAAGACCTGTGTGAGATTCAAAAATAAACGACTGGCAATAAGCTGTCGCTTATATCTTTATAAAAATGTCAGAAAATAGCACCACCACCAAAAGTATCTGGAAATAAAACTAAGAAATTAGACTATTTCGTGTATTTAAATTCCCGTTACATAAAGTTTTGCTGGGAGTGGAGGCCGGGACCATTTGAGGAATAACATACTAATAGCCCCGTACTAGAGAAACCGTGTATCGTGGGTGCCATGGATACACACATGGTCAACCACAAATGACACCCGAGCTCACGAGAAAAATAAATGTAGGCCATATAAATATTTCTCCCGCTCCGGGAATCGAAATCGGGACCTCAGTGTAACCGTTCGGTCACGGAGGCTGTGGTTAATGTCCAATCTTTTACCATTAAGGTCATATATTCGTAACTTAGTGGTTATATGAACAACTAAACAATCGAAGTGTTAATATTGAATTACTTACCTGAGTATAAGTCCGATGCTCAGCTGTGGTGACAGACTATTCAGCGCCAAGTACTGTCTGTTCAAGCACATATTCGAGAACAGATCCAGCTGGTGTCTGTAATAGTCCAATATAGCTGCAGACTCGCAATTCGGGTCTTGGCGAGCTTTAGAGGCTAGCTCGGAGAGTAATGCGGATTTCTGAAAACGAAAATTTATGAAATTATAATTTTTTTGCATCTAGAATTGCTTATATACTCTTAAACTGACTGTATTGTAAATATCTTAGAAATATATTCACAACACAGTCAACCACAACTTTAGAAGCTGTAAGAAGTCCGAAACGTTGGTTTGTTTACATAGATATTAGACTTTCAACGTAGTCTACCTACTTCCTGTGTTTAGATATAATTCAAATTCAAATCTTTTAATTAAGACCACTGCAGTCCATGGTATTAGTTAAAATACTAAAAAAAAACAAGAAAACTCTACATCTACGTTAGTAACAAACAAACGACACGCATTACAAAACTAAAAGAAATCAATAGAACAAAACAATAAAATTATAAAAAATGCAACTATTTTTCCGGATTTAAATCGCGTATATTTGTTTTTTCAGACAAACCAACGTTTCGGGCCCTTTACAGGTCCGATGGTCACGGTTGACTGAGGTAAGGTCAATGGTAATTCCCATCACTATCCAAGCAAGTTAGCTAACGTGGGCAAATCTTTGTTTCAGAGAGCACATAGTGTCTGCGACAATAATCATCTGGCAGGGGAACTTCAGCATATAAAGCAAATCCTACATGCGAATAAGTTAAAGATTCCACGCCACTGCCGCAGGCCCCGTGTAAAACCACCAACAGTTGAGCGAAGACATGCCATTTTACCTCACGGGAGAGGTGTTACAGACAAGATCGGAAGAGTCCTCAGGCGTGCATCTATCAAGAGCTAGTTCAAGCCCCTGAGGAAGATTTCTCAGTTCCTGAGACCTGTGAAATGTAACATCCCCTTATAGGATGAAGGAGTTTACAAGCTTGACTTTGAGTGCGGTCTCTCTTATATTGGACAAAAGAAGCGAAGTATTTGTACCCACGTCAAAGAACATATAGCTGATGTCAAACACCGTCGCGTAAACAAGTCTGTAGTCTGCTTGTATGTCATGGATAAACCCACAGATTCAATAAAGTTTGACAAACCCCAGGTCCTTGCAAAAGAAGTTCGTTATCTACCCAGGATGTTGCGAGGCCATTGAAATTAAAAAACATCCTAATTTCAACATGGAAGATGGTTTCTCCGTACCACCAGTTTTGGAGCCCGTGTTTCGTCTGATGAAAAATCTCAAAAAGACACAAAACTGCAGTACTAATTAATATGTTTTAATTTATTCTAATTTCTATTATTAATTAATAATAAATTTAACTTAATAAACATTCATTCAATAAAATAATTTGTAAAACGTAACTTAGCGTAACTTGGAACGTTTCTTTAAAAACTAAAAATAAGGTATTTCATTAACAACTTTTGTAATTATAATGAAAAAATAGGGTGGTTTGCATTAATATTAGACATAACTGGTTGATGACTGTACCACCTCAGTCAACAGTGACCATGGAACCTGCAAAGGGTCCGAAACGATGGTTTCTTTGAAAAAACAAATGTACCCGATTTAAATCCGGAAAAATAGTTTCATTTCCTATGCGTAACAATCGCGAAAACTCAACTCTTCAAATTTAAATGGGATCAAATACTGAATTACCCTCATTCAAACAAAAAATAAATCACCGGAAATCGGTTCACAAGTGCCAGAGTAATCGCGGAACATACACACAAAAAAATACATTCGAATGGAGAACCTCCTTTTTTGACGTCGGTTAAAAACTAATTAATAATAGTCGCTTGATCTCGATACGATCGTGCGCGTTATTAAAAAAAATAATTAACTAACCTGTTTGTTATTCCACAATAGTATAACTTCGTCTTCCACGGTGTACTTGTCGTGGGCGTCTAATGGTTTCTCCTTTTCATATTTTGTTGAGACCAATCTGAAGCAAAATATGTACAACTAATAATATGTTCAATTTAATAAATACATTTTAATCTTCTTTTTTTGTGTAATGTGACAATCACGAGATGCCGGTTTCTTTTCATTCGTGTTTTTTTTTAATTATGTCGATTTAATTTTTGTATTGACGACTTTAGTGCCCAACGGTTTGCACTTTAGGTGCTCAATGACGTCCCAGATCCGATTCCTGGTAGGACCAATTTGGGAAATTAAATAAATGAAGCAAATTAATTGGTAGTAAGGGTAGTCGAGAAACTTTAAATTTAAATGAATGTTTAATATTCAACTACAAAAAAAAATAAGAGGAAAGTTACCTAAGAGTATGTTGTACTTTTATTGTACAACTTACTGTTGGGTAATTTTGTGAAAAAATTTGAAAAGGTCCAAATTTATCTGGAAAAATACCGGAAAAATTTAAAATATTTTAAAAATTGGATAAATATAGTCTAGAAGGCTTATATTACGTTTAGAAATATCTTTTGGAGTTTTATTTAACGTCCCTAGTTGGCTCCATCGTTTTCGTTCAGTAACTTCAACATTTGACAGGTGTCAACGTCAAATGTAGAAAAATAAAGAAAAGATGTTGGAAAAATATCGGAAAAAATATTTATTTTTCTGAAAAATATTTTTATTTTTTTTGTGTATGGAAATTTTTCCATGACCCTACACTTACTAGTACACCTTATAAAAAAAAAAGACCGTTCACTTTTGATTTGTTCTTCATTGATAAGCCCCCGCTGTTTTTACCGATTAATGGCACTAGTTCTGACCCCTAATCTGATAATTTTCTCTTGCTTGTACATTTACAAAGTTTTTTACATATTTCCTTTCCTATCTTTCCTTTCCTTTCTTAACTTTTCTCTCAGAGGAATCTGCCTAACAAATGTATTTAATAAATGACGATTTCAAGTGTAATTTGTTTATGAAATAATGAAATTACAATATTTTGAATTTGAATTGTCCCTTACACCAAAGAATTTTAACTCTAAATATAGAATTATCGTATAAAATATAGTTTCCCAAAGTGGTATGGGGCGCTTATAATAGTTTTAGTAAGACGGTAGAGGACTCAGAAGCAAAGGCTGATGACATATAGATAATTCAGGTTTTTTTTTCAAAAGCGGTAGCACCCTATGTTTAAATATATATAAGGATTATTTTGGCCAGAACTAGCTCACATAAAGTGAGCTTATTTTGAGTTAAGTAGATATCTTAAGATTGTTTCATACAATATTCTAACGACGGTTTTTTTGACGTGAAGATATCAAATTTTACGTTCAATAAGTCAAAGTCAAAGATCATTTATTCCATAGGTAAAATAAATTTACACTTGAAAACGTCACATTTACATTACATTACATTAAGCTATTGCTGGTTCATTACGCTGACTTCCCTGAGAAGAACGAGCAAGAAACTCTAGGGATTGCTCTTTTCTAATAAACTTGGAATACACTTTGAATCAAATTTGTGTGGTTCTGGAGCCGTGTCGTCTTTCCATGCATCTTTATCTAACACGTAGTGTTCAATTTTGTAATATGACTTTTCGATCAAAATATTTTTAATGTAGTTTTTAAACTTAGGAAATGATAAACTTAATATATGCTCCGGAATCTTATTGTAAAAACGTATACAGTTCCCCATAAAAGAGTCGTTTACCTTGGTTAAACGAAATCGTGGTACCATGAGTTTGGACTTAGCTCTAAGGTTAATATTATGGATATCTTCTTTCTTATTGAAATTATGTATATTTTTACGAGCATATAAAATATTTGAGTAAATGTACTATGACGCCAGTCATGATACCAGTCTCCTTAAACTTTTCTCTGAGAGAAACCCGAGAGCCTAGACGGTACACAGAACGAACCACTAGTTTTTGCAATACAAATATGGTTTGAATATCTGCCGCTTTACCCCACATGAGAATGATATAATATTAAATTTCACATATTTTGAGTTACAACACTTTTGTAATAGCAGCGCGTCAATTTTTTTTTTTTTTTTTTTTATACATGACAGGCAAATGGCTCCACTCCACCTGATGTTAAGTGGAAAGTGGTATCCAAACGCGAAGGAACCTAGTGCAGCGATGGATACGTGTTTTCAATTATTTTTTATGGTGGTGGGCGTAGAAATTTCTTTGTCTTGCCTCGTTGACGGTGAACCAAAAAGTTTGGGAACCTATGATGCAAAAGATAGCTCGTATTTTTTTAACAATGACGTTATTCGTATCCGCGAGGAGGATAGCAATTTATCTATGTAATTTTTTATTGACATTTCTGCTGTTGTGGTTGAATTCTCTATGAGAGAAAAATAAAGGAAATTTGTGGATATAAAAGCTAGGATAATATTAATGTACGATCTTCACCTGGTCTCAATAAGTATATCCGAGTTATTGGCACACAGCACGCTCTTGCATATTAACTCCTGAGTGACAGCTATGGCCTTCCTGTTGGAGATGCATAGGTCGCTGAGGTAGTCTAGGAATCTGGATTGCCAAGTTTTCATGTTCTTGCGGACGAGACCTGCGAACAAAATGTCGATTATTTTAGTTATGGTAACGAGGGCAGAATAGTTTAGTAGCAGTATAGATCCTTGTGAAAGAATCCCGTCCAGGGAAGTACTGCAATCATAATTACTTCTGCCGCCGAGCAGTAATGTCAGCATTAACTTCTTCTGATTTTAATTCAAATTGGAATCGTCCCATCCGAATCTCGAAATCAGACGGGTTTCTGAGCGAGAAGATGAACCTGATTCCTACTATATCTTTCCAATTTGTGAGTTTAATCAACTATTGTTCCGATTTGATTCGATGTTCAAAAGTTACCGATCGGCCAGTTGTGAATCGCAATTAAGCGCCTCGACTCGGAAGAGACGCAGTTCCCGATTGGGAGAGACAATCAAAATCAAGCTGCTGGTTCCTCATTGATAAGGTCGCTCGCGTCCTTGAGTATTCCGACTGTTAAGATGTCTTCACTCACCGACAAACGTCTCAATTTCCGATGCTGTGATGTGCTTCTCTAGCAGTTTCCTATTGTTGTGCAAGAGAGCTGTGATCGTGTCTTCAGCAAGGATGTCGTAGCCGATTTGCTTCTGCATGAAGCCGAAGTGCTTGGCAATGTATTCCTGTGATAATTCACATGGTAATTTATTATTACTTCCTTATTACTGGTGGTGGCTACTCGACTTGGGCCAGTGTCAGTTACGATGATGATAATAAAAATAACGCACACACTCAAGCCCATCATAGCCCCGCACTAGGGAAAACTTGTGTCGCGGGTGCCATGGACACACACATAGACAACCACAAATTACACCCAAACTCACCCGGGAATCGAACCTGAGACCTCTGCGTAGTCCGGCATGGTAACCGTTACGGTGCAATCGGCCACGGAGACAGTTAACGATGTATGTTGTCAGAAGATGGAATAATAGTGATCGAGAACGCCAAGTAAGAAAAATTGGGTTAACTATTGTACTCGTTTTTTATAGTAACCGGGCGCCACGCCTGGTTCATATAGTACCTTCAAAGTGTTGTTAAGTATAATTCCGCTGACTCTCTTGTACCGTGCGCCAGGATTTGTTCATATAGAACCTTAAAAATGTTGTTATTTAATGATGTCTGCAGGCTCTTTGCGTCGGAGTCTGACGTTCTGGGATGGCCGAATGTAATGATTTTTGTAAAGGAAAAGTGGAGTACGAGAGATTATTATTTTTCGTAACGGCAACACTGGGCGGAGAAGCCATGTTGTTTTTTCGTCCCGTCACTTGGTATTTATTATACAAAAAAAAATATTTGAACTATTTTGTGTGCATGATTTGCCATTCAAATTCAGTGATTACTACGATATTGTTCTGTTTACACGGAAACGTTCAATAGTAATAATAACAAAGTATGATTTTCACAATAAATAGTGATGATGATGACCGACACATAATTTCAGCCAGTGCCAGTAGCAAGTTGATTGATGAAAATCTATAGTATGTCTTTTTTGAAGAATAGTTTTCAAACAAATTAAATGACATTTCGTCTCTATTTCTCGTTATATACTCCATGTCCCGTGTACAGCGCGTCATAACTGTTACGTAAACTGTCACTCCCCCGCACCGCGCAGCTACCTCAGGAACCAACTTAGTTAAGAAAGCAGATGCCTGAATGGTGTAATTTCTCTTACTTGATTTTTTCTATAATCCTGTTGACTGAGCCTTAGTATTCTGTAGCACAGCCGGAATATGTACTTATAGGGGGCGTATCGAAGGTCGTTCAACTCTTCGATCTTCAAGAACGCGTCGCCACCTGGAGTCTCTTGAAATGGGCCCTGAAAGCAATAAAAATTATGTGTTATTTGTATTTATCAACCAACTTCAAAAAAAGAGGAGGTTCTCAATTCGACTGTATTTTTATTGCGTGCGTGCGTGCGTGCGTGCGTGCGTGCGTGCGTGCGTGCGTATCGTGTGTGTGTGTGTGTGTGTGTGTGTGTGTGTTTTTACCCGATTACTCCGGCAGCACATTCTTGAACCGATTTTCATGATTCTTTTTTTGTTGGAAAAAAGAAAGTTGTAAGCAAAACTGACCTGTAATATCTTGAAAAGCTGCCGCAGTATATACTGTTCGCGCAGCAGCTTCTGTCTGTCTCTGTTAGGGTTCTCCACTACCAGTTCGAGGGCCTCTGACTTATTGGGCTCGTTCTCAAAGCCCGCTATGAAGTACACTATGTCTTGAAGAAGGCTCGTAAGCGCCCTGGCAAACAAATTTACAGTTGAATTATTGTTAGGAATAAACAGCACCCTTATCACAAAATCAAAATAATCTTCATTTCGTAGGTAAGCATTATTATATTACACTTGAAATCGTTATACTGATTAAATTGTACTGCTCATTTGTAAGGCAGATTCCACTGAGAGGAATGAGCAACAGACTCTAGGGGCTGATCTTTGTAAATGCACTTGAATACATTTATCATTACAATATTTAATTTAAACATCTTAGATCGAGACTACCTGCAAGGGCTAAACGAGTCACAACCATGGACTTTTGTCGTCCAAGTATGCAGAAGAAGTATATATTTAGTATAAAATTTTTGTTTCATTATAGAATAAGGGTCGTATTCCAGAACTGTACTCAATGCTCAAGTCAGGATTTGAGTATGGTTTAAAGCACTCGAAATCATACTCAAGTCCCTGCCATTAGGGTCGTATTACCAGTGCTTGTGTTTCCAGTGCAATCCTGACTTGAGCATTGAGTAGAGTTCTAGAATACGACCCTAAATGAAATATGATATAGTATATAAAATCTTAGAACTAGAATGATAGTGTGTGTTAGTTCTTCTTCTTTTTATGAACATGACAGGCTGTAGCAGAATATCAGCGGCGTTGTGAAGCACTTCGCCATTGTGCTGAGCTACAGCCCTTTTTATCTCACACTACTAGTTTTACTAAACACTGTGTAGAACTTTATATTTTTTTTACTTATTAATGTGTGGTGATAAATAAACGATTTTATTATTATTATTATATCTATTTTAGACTCTCGCCTCTCGCAAGGCCCAAAAGATTTATTATTAATATAGTTTTAAACTTCGTAAATGGCAAATTTTTAATATCAACCGGAATCTTATTATAGAAGCTGAGACATTGTCCCTTAAATGAATTTGAGACTTTGTGAACACGACTGTCAAGAGCAGCTAGTTTATTGTCGTATTAATGTTATGTCTGTCATGTAGCTGCAACGAACACATCAGCCGAGCACACGGCGCGCGGCATTGACTGAGCACGAGAACATACTACCGGTCGCGCTTTTGGTTCCCAGCAATGCCGCAGCACTACCGAGCACCTCCATTGACGATTTTAGCACTCATACCCAGGCCTTTTTTTATAATATATATATTATATATATAATATATATATATATTTATACAATATATAATGACGGGACCAACAAGTCGTGCACCTGATGGTAAGCTACACGCCTGTCCACAACAGTAGCAGTACCACTCAGAACTTTAAATCACAAGATCTAAGGGGCACTGCCACTGCGCCCGTCACCCTGACACATAAGTTGACAAGTCCCATGTGCCTGTATATTCATCAGCACCCTTACCCTTCTAAACCGGAACGCAGTAATGCTAACATAGATAATTTAAATAAAATTATTCCAATCTTCTACAACCACCCCTTTTACTTCTTCTGCAAGAACAAAACACCTAAAATCATTATTTCTAATCACTATTCTAATCAGCGTCACAGCCTTTTCCCGGCGGTGACATTAGCTGAGTGGATTCTATTACATACGCCTCAGCCGCACACATGACATCTACTTAGTACAACAATAGTGTTGACTAGCTTTGTGGCCGCTTAATTATTTATTACTAAGATTTTATTTTTAATTAATTTTATTTAGTTTTTTTTTGTTATTCTATTTTCTGTTTGTTTTAGTTTTAATTTAGTTCTGTTTTACTTTTTATTTTTTACTGTGTATTTATTTACTGTGTATTATTTTTTACTGTGTGTGTATATTATTGTGTTGTGGCGTTATGTAATAAATAGATTCTATTCTATTCTACTTTTCATAAAAAAAAATTTTTTCTCAACATTTGATATTTTTGTAATAAAGACACCTATTCAACATGTACTCACTTCCTCTCATTGTGCTCAATATTCCCGTGATGCATTTTAGTCGACAAGGCCGATAGCACTTTGCACGCATCGTTGGCGAAATCGAGATCTCTAACCTCGCTGGGAGACACCGAAATCAGCGCGAATGCTTCTTTGTCTTCTTTCACAACTGAACAGCCCACCTGGGAAAGGAAAAAAAAAACATTTTATGAAATTGAAACCAGCAAATATCCGTATAAGAATCGCCTAGAATTCATTAAAATGCAATCATTATTTTAAAAGACGTAAATTATAATCTTTGTTTTCTGCATAAACTGTTTACTAGTCAGATAGGCTCTACAGAAATCAATGATAAGGTGGGTCTCGCTGTTCCAAGTCGACTACTTACCAAGATACAAAATAAAAAATAAATCTATATCCCGCGTTGTAAGCAGGGAGCATAATGCAATTATAATGAAATAGATATTTTTAATGACACATATCACCGCTTCAAGCGATAATCAGTAAAAATTGTGTTTCATTGATTACCATTTAAATAATTAATAGATTCAGGCGTTACTTTGCGGAAGTCGATGTTAATAACAAAAAAATGGAAGTAAATTACTCCGCGAACCCAGTGAAGTTTAAATCGTGCAAAATAGCTGCGTTTGTGTTGAATATTTTTTCATGCAGTTAATTATCCCACCGTCCCTCCGCATAAAATATAACTTAACTAAACACATTTTACAGGCTGATTTCATATCACATTTCCTTCATACTTACACACTAGTTTTTACCTATTCTTAAAGTAATGCATTCAAATTAACACCCTTAGAAATTTAAAATAAATAGAAAGTTTTGCCATCTCCTAAATAATCACTTTTAATACGATACGAGTTTCAGAAAGTAAGGCATCGATATATTCTGTTGGGATACCAAAAAAAAAGGCAAATAAATAAATAAGTTACGCAGCCGTAACTCCACTTGGCTACCACCACTCTTACAACGCTACACAATAGTAATAGAATCCAACTTACTTTGGACATAACAGGTTTTTCCTCGTCCTTGTCGATAGGTATAGAAGTCGAGTGCACCCACGTATGCGGACATAAGTGCTGTAACCTACGAACACATTTTATTTCTTTAACATATAATAGATACACACTTGGCCACAGTCTCACGCCAGCATCATTGGGTTTTCACATTAAGGGATCAAGGCTAGGGCCAGAATAATGTCTACCTGAAGAGTCGTTACAACCTCGTATAGCTTTGGTAGATACCGCATAACAGTCTAATTATTGAATCAATCGCTTTGTAAAAAGTATATAGTAAAATTTAATTTTTAAAAAAGGATATAGAAAACACGACAACTAAAATTTTTCACGATAGTAAAAAACACAAACTTACCTCGAAATTTTATAAGAAAACCGCTGTATTATACAGCGGTTTGTATTATTATATTCTATTGAATATAGGTACTTTACATATCGACCCCTCCCACGTAAAGTGTCGTATGTCGAAATTGCCAAGTTTACAGGGGAGCCTTTTAAAGTTCTCAAATCACTGAAATAAGCATAACACGTGACTTCTCACTTTTATTGGGCAAATCTCGTTACTCACATAGAGTATTATAAAATCCTAGATATCGCTTAGATTATCTACTAGATGATTACAACACTTTGCCGAATGAAACGGAGAACTTTAAAACACTCACCTGTAAACTTGGCAATTTCGACATACAATACTTTGCGTAGGAGGAGTCGATATAGGTACCAACGATTTTTTTTAATATCAACTGAACTAAATAGAATTGTATTATACGACACACATTTTTCAAATAGCTTTAATTTCATTTGTGAAAAAAATAAATTTCTGAAATAATGCCAGTGTTCCTGTTCCAGTGTTCCAGTGTTCCAGTGACCCGCGCAATAGAACCGATACAGTACGGAAAAAAATTTCATTCGAGGTGAGGTAGTATACATATATACTTTAAATGGCTTTTTTTAATTTTATTTTTAATGGAAACTTATAAAAACTTTAGTAAGTTTATTACATATTAAGTTTTTTTACCACGATATTCAACAGTTTTGTGAATTGACTCCACTAGTTTGTTATAATTGGACGTAGTTAAGCAAAAAGGATCCAATCCACAAAATTATCAAAAAATGAGTTACATATATTAAACGGTTCCTAAATTCTAACCTCTTAGATCAGCAAAAAAAATCCAACTTTTAAGCATAAATAAATATCTCTGAAATTATACGTTCTTAACCCGCATTGGGCCAGCTGGCGGACTATGGCCTAAACCCTAGTCTGAAAAGAGACCCGTGCCCAGCAGTGGGACGTATAAGTGGGTTGATGATGATGATGAAATTACATGACATTATAAGTTTTGAAAATAAAAGAATGAGAAACACTTTTGAACTTCAAACTGCCATATCTCGAAAGTGACTGAGTGTGCATTGGATCCTTTTTATTTAACTACGTCCAATTATTAATACAAAGATTGAACACTAAGAAAAATTCCCTCGATCCGCAACAAGCACTTGGAAAATTCGTAAGGTCCGTTCCGTAGTTTTTTTTTATGTTATGTAGGCAGCAAACAAGAATATAGGCCCGCCTGAAGGAAAGCGATCACCGTCGCCCATGAACGCCTGCAACACCAGGGGCATTACAAGCGCGTTGCCATCCCTTTTCAAACCCCTTTTGAAGGATTCCATGCTCTATAATTGCGGAAAAATCCTACAGGGGAGCAAGCTCGACTCGGCTCCAGAATATAAGGAAGAACTCCCTGTCGGTGGCGAGTGGTACGATGATAAAATATTGCTGTTGGCATTATGTCAAACAGTTTTTCAGAACATTGGCCATTTCAGCTCAGTCGGGAGAGTGTCCACACGATATGCCGAAGGCGTTCGTTCGAAGAATTTTTCTTAATGTTCAATCTTTTTATTAACAAATCCAAAATATTTTTCACCTGGTCTAGTACTGAAACCTTCAAAAAAAATATGAATGTCATGGTAGTTAAAATAAATGAATATTGTAAAAGGCATTCGAACCAACAAACGGGGGTTATGAGATATTCCCTTATTAGGTATAAGATATACCTGAGTAGTTAGCAGAGTTGGTGGTTTTCAAGACTGTTTTCGCACCTGACATAGCTGCTTTGCGGTACAGGCGCGTCTGAGTGGGTCATGGTGGTGGGGTCCAGCTCGAACAGAGTAGCGATCTCCGATGAGTGAGGCACGGACACCAGCTGGTATGCTGGCTCGCCGGGCTCTAAAGGACCGTCACTGTAAAATAAGTTTTAACAACAATCTGTACTTAATAATCACACAGACATATAAAAAGTAACTTTAGATGGACAACCTTCAAACTTTAACTTACTTATTACTTAAGGTACAAGAAGTGAACAGCTATACTTCAAATGGTTTTAGGTAATTACTAAATAAATGTAAACAAACCGTAATGAAGTATTTTATGAGGCATTACCAAGTTACTTATTGTAAAATTATAATGAGCTTTTTGAAAATGGTTAATACATGGTGTTTGATAGATGGACCGACAAAATTTTTTGGGGATTTGGCGGGGTCATTTGCTAACATTTACCTGTTGACCTCATGTCCAGGGTGTCACGGTAATAGTAATATGATTTTTTTTTATTTAATTCCCTAAAATCTCGCCTTTACATCATTATAACTTTTTTGTTTGTGGTTATAATAGCTCAAAATAATTTTGTTGCATTCTGTAATGTACTGCCATTCTAAGTAAATCACAATTTGATACAAATGTTCTCAAAAAAAAAAGAATTCTTAGCTTTTAAAGTGAATAAAAAATAATTAAGGCTTAAAAATATCAACAACTAAATTCATTTCAAAAAAAGAACTAAAAATTATTTCGAAATTAGCTTTATTTTAAAAACTTCTGTAATTAATACCCTTTCCAAAGATATGCCACATGTTATGGAAATCATGCGATATGTTATCAAAATATGAGCTACTACAAACAAGGTCCGTGCTAACTACGAACCAAATCAACGCTTGCATCAAGCGCCCTTTGGAGACCCGTTGCTCCACAGCGCAAAATGTATGGGTAGCGTCCTGTGGACGTACGGTGGCCATGTCGCGGAGCGCTATCTTCACGTCTCGTGGTGTGGTAAACGTCGACTAGGATATCGCTCCTGATAAATTCTTTGCGCTTCACGCCCATTGCAATCTGCACGGCCATACACCAGTAACATGTCAGCATATTCTTGATTACTGAAGTTGGGCATAGTTGGAAAGGGTATTAGTTAGAGAAGTTTTTAAAATAAAAGTAATTTCAAAACAATATTTTGTTTTTTTAAATGAATTTAGAAGTTGATATTTTTAAGTCTTAATTATTAATATTTTCACTTGAAAAGCTCACAATTCTTTTTTTTAGAACATTTGTATCAAATTATGATTTACTTAGAATGGCAGTACATTACAGAACACAACAAAATTTATTTTGTGCTATCATAACCACAAACAAAAAAGTTATAATGATGTAAAGGCGAGATTTCAGGAAAGTAAATAAAAAAAAACATATTTCTATTACCGTGACACCCAGGACATGGGGTCAGCGGGTAAAGGTCAGCAAATGACCCCCTCAAATCCCCAAAAAATTTTGTCGGTCCATCTACCAAACACCCTGTATATGATAATATTTTCAGGTAATAGACAATATTTCGAACTTCCATAAGTTGATGTGGCGGTGTTGGTTTGAAGACCGTGCAAAGTGGAGGAGAAAAAGTAGAAAAGCGGACCCCGGGCTCCGCAGCAACACTGCTGAGGACGCAACCGGGACAACGCTCAGATGAGAGAGAGAGACAATATTTCGAACTACCTACTTAAGAGTCGATCCAACCTCAAATGTCTGTAGTTGATTCCGCATAACGCGAAAGTGTTGAATTAATCACTTCGGAAAAAAATAAGTAAAATTGGGGACGTAATACACTAACTACTATACAGTGTGAAAACACGATTCCTAAAAATATTCACTATAAAAAAAACACAAACTTATCTCGAAAATTTACAAGAAAACCACTGTATTCAATAGGTAAATTATAATTAACTTATACTTTTTAGACGACATGGCTGGCACAAGAAGAACGAAAGGAGGCCATTAAGACACGGGACCAACCATAGACTGCACAAACTTTCAATGAACACTACGCAATCTTTATTTTTTGGTTATTTTCTGTTATTTTTGTAATCAGCCATATTTGTTTAGTAATATTAAGCTCCTCGAATTATGTGAAAAAAAAAGAAACAGAAAACAAAATTCGAAAAAAAGAACGAAAAGAAAGCGAATTTTGTGAAAAAAAAATAAAGGAACAAAATAAAAACAAGAGATTCAAAAAATTTAGTTCTTTGGAGGTATCGAAATAGGTGTGTTCATGTTGTTGCCTGCGGTGTATATACAACCGTATAATACAACCGCCATAAAACCTAAAACGCAATTGAACTCACTTCGGTCCTTGGCATGCTTCAGCGGCCAGGTAGTGTCCTGTCGCGAGATGTTTGAACCGGAAGATGGAGTTCCAGTAACCAGCGCCGCCGCGGCACGGGTCATGTTGAACGACCTGCAATGGTAATAAAGAGGCGGCGTGAATTTCGTGCATCATATTCTCTGGCCAGCAGATTAAGATCCGCTACATACACAGTCCGCAGAACACGTGAAGTTACCGATGTTGGTACTGCCAAACTACTTTATTTTAGTTACTTCCATAGTACGGGATTCTCATATGGGGTAAAGCCGCATATATACAAACCATATTGGTGTTACAAAAAAGAGGAATTCGTTCTGTGTACCGTTTAAATTCTCGGGTTTCTCTTAGACAAAAGTTTAAGGAGACTGGTATTATGACCGTGGCATCACATTGCATTTACTCAAATATTTTGTATTTACGTAAAAATATGCATAATTGCATTATAAGTCCAAACTCATGTACTACGATTACGTCCCAATATTTTAATTGAAATGTCATACTACAAAATTGAAAACTACGTGTTAGACAAAGATGGAAAGACGATGAGTATAGATTCCACACAAATATGATTCAGTGTATTATATATATTCCACGGCATATAACTTTATTCATTTGTAAAGAGCAATCCCTAGAGTTTCTTGCTCGTTCTTCTCAGGGAAGTCAGCACAGTGAACGAGCAGTAAGTTTAAGAAATTACGTTTTCAAGTATAAAATTTTACCTATGGAATAATGATTATTTGATTTTTATTTGATCACCACCGGTGGTATTCTGCGTTATGGTCGTCTATGCTCCACCGGTGGTGCACCCCGAGGCGAACATATTAATCTATATTTATGGCTGTTCAATTGATCTTACTTCAATCTCCCAAAGCGCCTTACTGCTAGTAGCAGCAGTGGCACTGGATCTCCCAGTGGTCCTGAGAAAGACATGCTGCCGCTTCTTGTACTCATCCATCGTAAGAAATTTCTCTTGTTCGGCGTGGAATAGCCGGACCACATCTCCTCCTTTGAGGATCTCCTCTTGGTTTTCTTTGTGTTCGAGAAATAATGTCACCTTCCATGACGTTGACGAATTAACTACATTTACCTGAAATTGAAGCGTTCCTACTATTTAATTTTTTATTGAATTGATATTCAATTAATTTTTTATGCGAAATTACTCCACTAGTTTGTAATAATCATTAATATAGCCGGCTGGCATATCCGGCCGGATTCGAACCGACATCTTCTAGCATACCGTGCCAAATAATACCGTCTGGCACGGTATAGACCAACTAAGCTTAGTTGGTATGCTATCCGAATCGCGAATCCGGCCGGATCGATGAAACTTTTTCTAAGTGTTCGATCTTTGTATATATAATTATAACGTTCCTACTATTATAAAGAAAAGTTCGAAAAACTAGGAAACACCCAAATCACTTTTGGGGGTGGTAGTGTTTATACATTAACCAACATCAAAAAAGGAGGAGGTTCTCAATTCGATTTTATTTTTCTTTTTGTATGTATGTTACGCGTTTGTTTGAATACCTCAGCGGTCCCATTTAAATTTGAAAAAAATCACCTCTAAGGCTGGCAAAGTAAGGGATGAATAACTTTTGAGGTCGGTTATTTTAGTACTCTGTACTGATATTATTATTATACAAAGCGAAGGGACGAGCAAGTGGTGCGCCAGGTGCTAAGCGACACGTCTATCCATAAAAGAAATAAATATTAGACAACATCCCATACGTTGCTGTGATTCCAAAGTAACTAGACCACTCGTGTTATGGAAATAGGAGCAACTGTCCATTACATTTGCAGCTGCCACTCAGAGCTTTAAATCGCAAAGATCTGAGGGGCACTGCCACTGCGCCCGTCACCCTGAGACATAAGTTGTCAAGTCCCATGTGCCTGTAATTTCACCAGCACCCTTTCAAAACTGGACAGAAATAGGTAACGTGGCAGTACTTCCTTGGACGAACTCTTTTACAAGGACCTCTCTACCGCTACTAAATACATCGCTGTCTTTATACAATAACGAATTATTGCAGAATACTACGATTTTGAACAAAGTATATAACGAAACATTATTCTTATTAGCAACACGATTTGGAACATTCTAAATTCACCGGTATAATATATCATAATATGACATATTTTGGCTTGGATCGCTCTTATTGAAAGCATCAACATCCATTTCGTGCAATATCTATGTATGTAGCAAAGTGTCCCAATTCTATAATGTCCTTTTCGCAAATTGTATACCGCAAAAATTTCTTTCCATATAACAACGAGAATAATGTCGACACAATTTAACCAAAGTGCACGCAGATAAGTTAGAATTTACAATGTTATAAAAACTTACCTCCATACAACCAGCATTGTCTGGTAGCTCGTGGTTTGATGATACATGTAGGACTTGTTGGCCTGCATTCACCGGGTTCATAATTACCTTGTCACCCACCACCACGTTGTCTCCTGTACAAGAATAACCAAAATGTACTTTGGCTAGATTCTCATGAAAAACAATCTGTTTAAATGTATGTATACTGCGATAAAATTCCAGATCATAAATGTAAACAAAGGTGATTCCATCACAAAAACAAATACTTTAAGAATTGTATAAATGCGAAAGGTCTAAAAAATTACCTACGAGACGTCACTCGGCCATTTATTATCTCGAATTCAATCTCAAGGTATAAATCGATTAACTGTTTAAAAAAAAATTGCCTCCTTACTATGAAATCTTGAATTAGAGATTTCACACAAATGCATTTTCTAAATTTTGTAGGTGAGAGGTAAAGGGTCTTAAGTTCACATTTTGGAATTTAGAGTGGATACACACGACGACTTTTAGCAACGATAAAAACAAGCGATTGCATAGGTACACTTGCTATTTATAGGCGATTGCATCGATGTAAACGCGCGACTACATCGTTACAAACGCGCGAATGCAGTGTAGCGATGCAGACGCGCGCTTGCATCGCTTTTAAAATCGCCGTGTGTAACCGCTCTTAGATATTATTACAAACATTGCTTTAGAATGCTAAAAATCACACAATGTTAAGACATTAAGACCTACCGTCGTTTATTTATTTAACACATTTTATTTCACCTTAAGATTGATTTTAAATATCTAATTACGAGCCTCATTCTTTTTAAAACGCTCTGTAATAAACTAATATTTGGCACTTAAGGTACTTTAACTCTCGCCTACAGAACCGGAACACAGTAATGCTCATGGCTACTTACCGGCAAAAATAGGTATAGCGGCAGACTTCCCTGGACTAACCCTTTCATAAGGAGCTCTACTCCTACCGTTACAATGCAAATAGAAGTTTTGACTCACCAGTCGAACGTAATTTATAGAATGGCATTACATAGAACCACGAGCCCTCGTTTCCGTTCGCATCCAAGTGGACCCGCATTGCGTTCTTCTCGAGCAATGCTGGCAATCTCTTGTTTACCTGAACACAAAATAATAAATATAATTGTTATAACACGAAGCGAAATACAGTCTCATGCTCGGGCGTATCTCTTCTTTTCATCTCTCTGAGTTAGGTTCCTTTTTCTTCGTAGTGAGGGCCTGGTGTCATTAGTCAGATTTAGTAGGGTATTATAGCGTAGGTATTTTCGGTTTTGTACGAAAGTGATGTATCTGTTACGTAGTAACTATTAAGTAAAACGTTATAAAATTAAAGTTCAAATTTTAATGATAATAATTGCACCTACGAAAACAATGCTATAAACTCACACACTTTTTGCGTGTTACTTTGTATTGTACAATTATATTAAATGCAGAAATCTCCATTTAATATAATTGTCCAATGTTGTCCAAATACTATAAAAATCCGGATTGAGGAGAGAAATTAATACGTAAAATTCTTGCAAAAGGCAAGTGCATATTGTCCAGTTTGTTTGCCTACCAATGACGTCACGCATTCTGAGTTGACGACTAGTGCCGTTTGCGTGGTAATTTATTTTTAATTATACATAAACATTGTTTGTTACCAAATATTTATAAAGATGATGAGTTTAAAAAACTAAAGATCTCCGCTGTCTTTATTGGCACTAATTGATATTAATTAGTCTGATGAATGCAAACATGACAATACATTTCCTTGGACTGTAAATAATAACCTCTTCCAACCCAGAATATTTACAAGTTTACTTTTTTTTTCATGATACCAACAGACGGGACAAACAAGTCGTGCGCCTGGTGGCAAGCTACACGCCTGTCCATGGCTGTTGCAGTGCCTTAGTGCCTTAATGTTAAAGTGCAGAGCTTTAATAAATAAAAAGATTTGAGGTGCACTGCCACTGCGCCCATTCACCCTGAGACATAGGTTGATAAGTCTCATGTGTCTGTAATTTCACCACCACCCTTACCCTTCAAAACCGGAAGCAATGCTCACAATACTCCTTGGCGGCAGAAATAGGTAAGGTACTGCTCTTGTATAGTAAAATTTATGTATACAGTAATGTTCCTTTGTTTCGTATTGTGGACATAAATAAAGACATATTTATTATTAAAATTATATCTAATTTAGACTCTCGCGTCTCCCAAGGCCTAAAAGATTAATTTTCAATTTTTAAATGGGAGAGGCGGTATTTCCCGGCACAGTCGGCCGGGGTCAGGGACTCAGGTTCAAGAACCGGCGAACAATACGTGCCGTATCGAGCCCCACGTACGATACGCCACAAAAATTCAACCGCCTCAAGCTGTTAAAAAGGCTGACTGGAAATAACCCATTTGCGGACAATACAATTAGGATTATTTTAGTAGAGGCCACATCCCACATGTCGGTGATCTCGTGCCAGGTCGAGATACTTCCGGCGTTTCTCGGTTTCGGCTACGAGACCCTCGTCATGAGGGATGGTAACGTCCACAAGAAATACCCTCGAATGCGATCGATCCAATATCCCAATATCATATATTATTATTATTATATTTCCCAATGCGCATTAAAATGTACTGAATATATGCTTCAAGTCCATGTAAATATGCTCTCAGTTTTGTTCGAAAAAAGTATTTTTGTAGATACCCTTTGGTCACGTAGAATAAATAGCACCAAGTTTGAATGCGATGTTTTCATTATAATGTACATTGGGCATATACGTCATGATAGGAATAATAAATTGTCTTAGTCTGAATCACTTCAGAAGGCACCGCCTTAGGCTACGATTACTATGGATGCGAGTTCTGACGAAAATGGGTTCGGATGTGATCCTCGTAGGATGATTAATGCGATTACCGATTGGAAGAATAGAAAACACTTGTGGTGTGTTTTCGTAGAATTTGTTTAGGAGGATTGTGTACGTGGGATGGTTTGGGATTGTCTTGCAGTGGCTAAGCGTCCACGTAACACGATTCCCACCGGCTTGCTTAAAATTTTCCGCGTATTACCAAAAGATTACTAAACAACGCGCATATCCCACCGCTTAAAAAACATATTCAAAACACTCACTATTACACGCGTAATAACTTGTCGCAATGCATCTCAACCAATCAGCGCGAGGTAAGCCGGTGGATCTGCGAGTTCTATTTCATTCATGAAATCTACGCGCTTCCATGAAAACACACGCACACATTCGCAAAAATCCGCTATAAAACATCTAAAGAAATGGCGGCCGAGAAGCCGGAATTAATCGGCTTCTAGTCGAATAGCGTTCACGTAAATTTAAACCTTGTTCCAACAAATTACTGTTTAATTTGTTTTAATGTCAGAATCGTTGCCAGATATAAAACTTTCTTAAAATGATGTAACAAAATTATTATAATAGCAAATTAATACAAAATATTGTTAATTTCTACTTTGTAACTCTTAACGATAAATAGTGTTACTTATGTATCTATATCTATTTGGGTGTTTCTTTTTAACAGGGCTACGTAAAGAAGAATGTATCAGAAGGTCGTGGTAATTGTTAGGTAATTAAAATAGCAGCACTTAGCATTCATTAGTTTGTTTACTAACAAACTTTCGTACCGAAACGGGCTGCATAAAATGTAGTAAATTACTTTAAAAACCATAGTTATTTTATGTGCAGAATAAGTTAACCTGTGAAATGAAGTGAACTAGTATATTGTGTGCTAATAAGTGTTGCATTAAAGTGTCGCCCAGGCGCCTTTTTAACGGGAAAAGAAATTTTTGTTAGTGTTTTTTGTTTCAGCTTCGGCATTACCAAGGAAAATTTTCAGGTCTCGCCACTGGTGTGTTGTGTATACTTACGGTGAGATACTTGTTGGACTTGACGTGCAGCAATTGTATAACGCTGCCGTATTGCACGACAGTGCCCAACAGTTTTTTGTTCTCCAGCTCATTCTGCTTTTTTTCAATTTCCGCGGCGTGCTGCAACATTTTACAATAATTACATTGGTGTTCAGTAAGTATTGGATACGAACATTATATCAAACTCTAATTAATTATAGTCTGTATTTTTTGAAGATGGAGTAAAATGACAGCTCATTGCTCAAAATTGTTGCCCGCTTGCAAGCAGCTAGTGATTGCAGTCGATAAATATTCTATCGATAGTCGACTGAATGTTGGTTACGCACATGCAATAAATCGCAGAACTTGTTTCGTTTCACTCATCATCTGCCGATAATTCATCCAACTGATGAGCACAGGTTCATTTGAATAGTCAATTTTTATAACACACATTTAGAACTACACTCACCGGCACGGAAACTTGGCCACACTTGGATTTTGCGATAACTTATATTAAAATACTATTTTATTACCAAATAAAGTCTAGTTACACTCAATATGCGTTATTTTTGTTTTTTTACACTTTTATAGTGTTTGTACACCAAAAAACAGTGGTTTTTTTTAAATTACACACTTTTACGAGAAAAACGATTTTTAAACACGAAATTCTAAAAAATTGAAAAATTAAAACTTAGCCAACTTTCTTTATGTTCATACGTTTTAGTACTTGGTGTTACCTCCTCTTGCTCTAATTACAGCCTGCATTCGATCTGGCATGCTTTGAATGATATTTCTGACATCAATTTGAGGAATGTTTTCCCAAGCGGCAAGAACTGCATTTCGGAGCTCATTAAGTGTTTGTGGCGGGTTGGGAGTGGACTTTACTTTCCTTTTAAGCGTGTCCCATATGTGCTCTATTGGATTTAAGTCCGGGCTACGAGCTGGCCATTGCAATTTTTGAATACCAACCTCTTCAAGATATTCATTCACACAACGTGCGATGTGCGGGCGTGCATTATCATGCATTAAAAGAAATTGGTCGTGTCCAATGAACTCCGAATACACGATAACATGATCCTGGAGTATTTCCTCGATGTATCGTGTGGCAGTCAGCCGATTGTCGACAATCACTAACTCCGTGCGAGCGTCAGAACTTATTCCTCCCCATACCATTATGGAGCCCCCGTGAAAGCTGACGGTTTGTGTGGTGGTAATGGGTAGAAACCGTTCACCTCTTTTTCTCCACACTCGTTCTCGGCCATCTGGAGCACGTACAGCTATTCTGCACTCATCTGTAAACAGAACTGTAGCCCATTGATCATGTGTCCAGTTAGCATGTTCCCGTGCAAACCTAAGTCGAGCTACTCGGTGCTGTCTGAGAAGTTCTGGACCTCTTGCTGGCCTACGAGCTTTTAAATTAACTTCTTCCATACGTCTTCTCACGGTACGCTCGCTGACATTTACTTGTCTCGCGATTTGGAGCCGATTGCGAATTTCTACAGCGGTAAGGTAGCGGTTTCTCAAAATTTCCAGAACAATGAAACGGTCATCCCGAGCCGATGTGCACCTAACACCACCACTGCCTGGTCTGCGAGAATAGTGGCCTGTCTCCTGGTATCGTTTTAAGGCATACTGCATTGAAGAACGTGGCACATTCAGAATGATAGCCACTTCACGTTGTGACAGCCCTTGGTCAATTAAAGTTACGGCCTGTGCAACTTGGGTTGGTGTTAAGGGCATTTTTATTGACAAATTTTCTCTTTTAAATATGGTATTAAACACTCAAAAACACAAGACGTCGGTAACTTAACAGTACACTTTGCAAACCTTAAACTTTTATCCCACAACCTTATTGCCCAAATGACCCGATTCAATTAAAACTTAAAAATTGTGTGACAGTGCACTCAAAAATAATTAATTGCCCTCTTGTAAACAAACTCTCTGGTAAACATTTTTTCTACACACCTTCATGAGAAGTACTTATTAGAAACACTTAAAACTTTTGCAAACGCGAGATTAGTGCTTGGCCAAGATTCCGTGCCGCTCAGTGTATATATTTAATAAAAATACGTAACCAAAATTCGCCTGTCGTTACGAAAATCTATATATATAAAAAAATATTTCGATACTGGTAGGCCAACGATTAAAATAGTAAGAAGGCAATAACGCAATTAATAACCATTAGAAAGTCCTAAGATTCACAATTCAAACATTTTTGGCAAAATTTTACCTTCTTTCACAATTTATCGATAAAACTGTGGCAACTAGTATATCGATGCCTTACTTTCTCGTACACATATCTTATAAAGAGTGATTATTCAAGAGATGAGAAAACTTTCCTTTTATTTTAAATTTCTTATCAAGGGTTTTCTTATCAAATTTGGATACATTACTTTAAGAATAGGTAAAAGTCAGTGTGCGAATATGAAAGAAATTTGATATGAAATCAGCCTGTAACATTTGTACACACGCCAGCACATCAAGCTACACATTGACGTATCTTGTTCCGTTGCACACAAGATTCGGCCGGATCCGAACCGACGTCTTTTAGCATACCGTGCCAGACGCTATACTAACTAAGCCACGGAAAGAACCAGCGGACCTCACGAATTTTTCTATAGTTTTATTTTTCTGGCGTATTCTGAACGATGTATAGATGTGTGAAGTGTTTTGTAATATATTGAAGGCATAAAACACATAACTATAATTGAAATGCAATTTTAATAGATATTTTAGTCAATTTCAAAAACACTTATCATATCATTAATTTATAGGTTTAAAAAAGTAGTAACACTAATATGTCAATACATTGCCTATGATTAAAATTCATACTTTAAGAATGAATACAGGCACAATACATTTAGTCATTAAATTATCGAAAACTTTTTATCGACATACCGTATCTCTAGCAAACGCAGTGTAATGAAGCAACTTTTGCACGTTGTTTTAAAAAATTATAAATCCTTTGAAAAAAATATATTTTATAAGCTCATTTCTTACAAATAAACATTGATTTGGTATTATTTTTACTTTAATTACTATATATTCATTTAAAAGCCAGGCTTATAAAAATAGATTATTTTTAGTATAGTGGCAAAAGTCACACGGTATTTTTGGCCAACCCTATCTAGTGACAATTTCGTTTGTCACTTAAACTTTGAGACAAAGAAATAAAATACACCCCAAACTAACTGCAATAGTTTTGAAGGCTTTGTGAAGATGTGTGTGAGTTGGCAGTACCTTGATGAAATAAGACACCTTCACGATTTAACATTTCGGGTGTTTTTCGTGAAGTATAAACTTAAGTTGTTCGCAAAAAGAAGTCCTAACTGTTCCAAAGATAGTTTCTATGCATCTCCTATTGTTGCTGATTTCCCCATACTGTTCTAGTTAATAAAAAAAACACTGTATAACAAATGTGGCTATATAACCATTATTAAGACAATAAATAAACCTTAAATAAATTTAATGGAATAGTTTATCAAAGCAATGGGCCGTTTCAGAAGAAATATTATTGTGTGGAAAATCGTTCTGTTTCACGATTGGACAACGTGTTTTTTTGTATTTGAATATGAAATTGAAGAACATAGTCCCCCCAAAGTGGTCTCTACCTAGTGGGCATTGAAGAGCCCTAGGCGGGCAGTAGGGGCCTCGGAAGCAATTGGGGGTCGTTGATGCTACCCATGGGGTGCTACCGCATTAGAAAAAAAAAACCTGAATTATCTACATAAACTACACTACATATATTATAATTTTTTTCCTTGTGATTTTATGTGTTAAGTTGATATAATAATCTCAGTACATAGTACTAAAAATACCGACCTCAAAAGTCACTAATCCTCTAGTTTCCCGCCCTTAGAGGTGAAATATTTAAAAGGGGCCACTACTGAAAAAAATTATCACGTATCATAAAATCATCGCGTAACACACATAAAAAAACTGTAGAATTGAGAACCTCCTCCTTTTTTTGAGGTTGGGTAAAAATACGTGTTTTCAATTATTTGTTGTGGTGGTGGGCATTGAATTTTTTTGCTTGTGTAAGTGGGCGGTGAGCCAAAACTTTGGGAACCTACGTTGTAAAATTTACTGCTCTTGTTTAATTTGTAATTGGTATATCCACACCTCGTTGGTAATATTCCAAAGATTCCCACAGAGCCTTATGCTTCCACATTTTTTTTTACTGAAACCAATAGGACTAGCACAGCAGGGCGCGGCATGCGCGAGAGTGACATAAAGCGCGAGATACTTTCTAGCTATTCTCGCACAGAGATCTCGTGCTTTATTATGTAGCTATTCTCGCATAGAGATCTCGCAATTTACTACCTAGCTATTCTCGTATTGAGATCTCGTGCTTTACTATCTAGCTATTCTCGCATACAGATCTGCGATTTTCCTAGCTATTCTCGCATAGAGATCTGTGATTTACTATCTAGCTGTTCTCGTATAGAGATCTCGTGCTTTACTATCTAGCTATTCTTGCATAGAGATCTCGCGATTAACTATCTAGCTATTCTAGCATAGAGATCTCGCGGTTTACTGTGTAGCTATTCTCGTATAGAGATCTCGTGCTTTACTATCTAGCTATTCTCGCATAGAGATCTCGCGATATACTATCTAGCTATTCTCGCACAGAGATCTCGCGATTTACTATCTTAGCTATTCTCACATAGAGATCTTGCGCTTTATGTCGCTCTCGCGCAAGTCTCGCTCTGTTGTGCTAGCACTACAAGTGACGGGAGGAACAAGTCGTGCGCCTGGTGGTAAGCGACACGTCTATCCATAGCACTTGCAGTGCTACTTACATATTTAAATCGCAAAGATCAAAGGTGCACTGCCACTGCGCCCTAAGACTAGTTGGCAAGTCCCATGCGCCTGTAATTTCACCTGCACCCTTAACTTTCAAAAACGGGCCGCAGCAATGCTCACAAAACATAGGTAAGGTTGCAGTATTCCCCTTTCTACTTAAAACATTTATACGGCGAACAGCTATGGAGTAGAATTCCCTGCCTGTTTACTCAAATAGTTTTGTATGCCCGTAAAAATATACTAGAAAGAAGATATCCATAATATTAACCTTAGAAGTAAGTTCAAACTCATGGTACTACGATAGTAATATTGATTAACCAATAATTATTATTCTTTTTAAACCCGTTCGCGAATAGTTCTACATTGCGGGTACAAAAGACAGCGATCTAAATTTAACACATTGGCCGCATTAAAAAGATTAATGTAGTCGATTAACAAATTTTGTTAAATTACATGGTTTACATTAGGGTTATTTTATTTATCGCTGTGATTTATGGTAATAGACAACAGAATTTGAAAATAAATAAACAGTAACCTAGTGGGAAGAACGCTGCCCTCCTACGTAGAAGCTCCTGGGTTCGAGTCTCACTGCACCAGTTGAATCTCTTTGAATCATGTGCAGTAAATTTATTAACTTTCACCTGGTGGTAAACGATACACCTATCCATAACAGTGGCAGTGCGATTTATGTCCAAATGCATTAAACTTAAGTATGTCTTATTCACGGGTCTTTCCCTTCCGTTTTTCCCTTGCTTGCGTTGACTGGGTACACGGCGTAGAAATCTGCCTTCTAGACTTGCGCGCATGCGCGGCGCCTAGCCTTTGATTTGTTTGTAGTGGAGGCTTGCATCTTCTGATGCTCTGTGATTGGCCAGTGGTGCTGTCCTCCGTAAACGTTCCGTTGTTGCTAGATATCAAACTCACGCAACGCAAAGCGAGCGGCCGACGCAGGCGAGCGACACGTGAAGAGCGAAGCGAGTCACGTAAGCAAGCGAAAAACGCAAGTCAAAAACTCGTGAACTCGGCATTAAACCAATACTCATGTACATATCATCATCATATCATGTCATCATCATCATGTCAACTTATGTCTCAGTGTGACGGGCGCAGTGACAGTGCCTCTAAGATCTTTGCAATTTAAAGCTCTGAGTGGCTACTGCAACTGTTATGGGCAGGCGTGTCACCTACCACCAGGCGCACGACTTGTTCATCCCGTCACTTGGTATTATAAAAAAATACAAGACAATGAAACGCTCACTGCCTATGTTTACGTACATATGTATGCTTTACGCTCTTTTCCCATCGGGGTAGACAGTGAACACATCCTTCAACTTGCTACAATCTTTATACACATTATCCCGTGTATGCGTACAATGAATAACACTTACTTACCTATCTGCTAAATTAAATTAGTAGAAAAGTAAAAAGTTTAAATGGCAACACTCAAAATTAGGCAGAATATCAGTGCAACCAGCCTATCATTCCCCTTATACCTAGGATGAAATATGAAAATATTTGTAGGCTAATAAAAAAATACAGTTTAAAAGCGTCTGCATGGTCAACATTAAAATATGCCAGTAGCCTGTTTTTAAATAGCTCACATTAATTTTTTTTAACATGAAACTAGTGCGCATCTAACCTCCATCTTACCTAATGGAAAAATGACGATAAGGTTGACGATGAGGCATGCAAATCTATATAATGCCTATTGACTTAAAAAGGTCCAAGTTTCAACGACCAGGAATCAAATCTGCTGGCAGGGAATTATAGATACACAAAACTATAAAAAAAAGTGCAATATTACTGTATTGAAATTCCAAAATTTTACTACCCAATTTATTTCTATACCACACTTTTACTACCTACCTCTATATTTTTGTACCACTTAATTAGAATACATTCACCTTTCCTTCAACGATTCTCTATTAGGTCTACATAAAACCACCGCTTCTCTGAATCGGCTGGAAGAATTTACAAACAAGAATTTTTCCAGATATTCATTTTATTTTTACCAAAAATCGTTACAGTACGGGGCGATATTAAACGAAGGAAAAGAAAGAAAAGAGGAATCTAGAATAGTTCGGTCGGGTGTTAAATTCAATTTGTCAAATGTCAGGTATTGGACGTCTTCCTGTAGTAACTAAATTATCAATAACTTACATGTAACCTCTTCAGCAATCCCGTATCCGTGTTGGAGTTGGCAGATTGTTTGGCGGTATTCCAGAATTGCTTTTGAGCGGAATAGCGGTTCATGGGGCATATTTTGAACAGACAATCTGTAGACAAAAACGACATATTACTTACTCGTCTACCATCGGGTGCGTATCGAATCAAGTAAGCTTTCCGAGCTATTCAGAATATTCCGAGTTAAACGTTCAATTCCGATACGATATCGTCATCCATTGGCGTTTGGGGAGTTAGTCGGTGAAATGGATTATAAATAAAAATGAAAATCCTTTTATATAAATTTTTAAGACTTTAAAGACCTTCAAATATAGAAATGAATTATTAGAAAATCCAGGCTTAATTTAAAATAATAAAAGATTTCCATATTACATTCTTGCTTTGTAAACAATAGGACGTTCGGTAACTTTCATTCGATAACTATGTTCTGAATAACGTTTGTAGCCTTTGCCGGTCCACAAGTTCGAGTAATCGGGTGTGACGTCATTACGGTTCGGTTTCGAATACTACAGTTTCCAGTTCAAGTTGGTTGTTGTGAATAAAAATGAAAAGAAATCGGTCGAAAACCCAGTTATCGTAAAGTTTTAAATCGACCCCCTGAAGAATACTAACCACTGCGACGAACAGCAGGATTTAAAAAAATTTAGGAGTCCAAAGCGTGCGCCAATTCCTTATGATCCGGCCCGAATCAACAAGATTGTTAATGAGCCATGGGAAGTTACACGTATTTTCCATTAAACGAGTAGCTGCGAGTGGCTGGCCGCGCGCAACTCAAAAATGAGTATACTATAATGGCTTATTTGAATAAATAAGAGTAGCCTAGTTAAAAATACGTGATAAAGTAGCCGCTACGACTGCGGACGTTCGTGGATAGTCGCTTAGTGGAAAATGGCACTTAGAGGATTAGTCTCAGTGCCTCCTCAAAAGAAGATTGTGAGCAGAACTAACTGCCTCTATTCGACCCCTCCTACGTAAAGTACCGTATGTCGAAATTGCCAATTACCCTATGCCAAATTTAGCATTTCTCAGTTTTATTCGAGAACTAGTTTTAAAGTAACAATCTTTGCCGAATAAAACTGATAAATACTAAAGTCACGTGTTACGGTAATTTCAGTGAATTCAGAACTTTAAAACGCTCCCCTGTAAACTTGGCAATTTCGACAGACTATAACTTTACGTAGGAGGAGTCGAATTAACAAATTAACTGCCTCCGCGACCGAACGGTTACCATGCCTGACTGCCACGCAGATGTTCCAGTTTCCGGGCCGGGAGAAAAATTTGTATGACCTACATTTATTTCTCTCGTGAGTTTGGGTGTAATTTGTGGTTGTCTATGGCAATCGCGACACAGGGTTTCCCTAGTGCGGTGCCATGTGGAGTGTGTGCGGTGCCATGTGGAGTGTGTGCGTCATTATTATTATAGATATAGTTCAATTTAAAACATTTCATTTATTTCTTTGTGATACACAGGCTAGGCTTTACGAGAATGAATTTTGAATCTCTGTGATCTGCTTGGGACTTACAATATGAAAGTTTTTATGCAAACACGGGACGAACCAGTCGTGCCCTGATGGTAAGCTACACACCTGTCCATAACAGTAGCAGTGCCACTCGGAGCTTTATATCGCAAAGATCTGAGGGGCACTGCCACTGCGCCCGTCACCCTGACACATAAGTTGACAAGTCTCATGTGCCTGTAATTTCACCAGCACCTTTACCCTTCAAAACCGGAACACAGTAATGTTGACATTACTGCTTGGCGGCAGAAATAGGTAAGGTGGCAGTAAGCTTCCCCGGACGAACTCTTTCACAAGACTCTACTGCCACTAAAATAATAAAATATAACAACAATCGCTTTCATTACAAGCATTGACTTACAATTATATGGACGTCGGGTCCGCGCTAAAAAGTGTCCGAACTTATAGGGCGTTAAAATCGTATACAGAGCGTCATTCACGCTTTAGTCTTCGTTTGTTCGACTGACAGCGAAGCAAGCAAAATTAGACAGTACTGCGATGACATTACAATTTAAATCTAACGTTTTAGCTATTTCATATTCCTTTACATGTCACTACGTTTAAATAGGTAGACTTGGGACATTTTTGTCGTGGTTTTTGGATTAGACCCGTCGTCCATTTATTTGTAAGTCAATGATTACAAGACATTCTTTGGTGGTGGCATCCAATAAGGCCGTCTGTTGTACATTGGCTTACTCTATGATACTTGCATTACTGTTCTATGTTGTCATTGTAATTTTAATGTGCAATAAAGAATATTTCATTCATTCATTCATTCAACAATTTATTTAACAAGTTCATCTAGTTTACAAAAACATATGAAATATGAATTTTATTATTGTTTTCGTTCATTTTTTTAAAAATTTTCAAGTCGTGTTTTCAAAATTCCATAATTTTGAGCTACGACAGTATTTAGTTTCGAGTGAAATATACTCTGTTACTGTAAAATAAGCTCATCACCTGTGGTCGTAACATGACAGAATATGTGTGATAAACCACCCTGTGATAACATTTAATTCAGTTAATAATTCTGAGTTTGCTTATTTGGTAATGAACTATTGTTATACATTTTGAAGAACAAGGACAATGATATGAAATTGCGTATACCTATAGCTAGCTATCTTTGTCGTTTAATCATCGCCGCGAAAACCATGAAACAAAAATGTCTTTAGGTCACGTTGTCGCGATAAATTTTTACGTTGACAAAATTACAGAGCGAATGTTTTAAAATCAGCTGTGACCTTGCAGCCATGTTTGGCACTGTGTTAATCTTTTGCAGTCATTGGTCGCTGGTGCGCGCGATGACATAAAAATGTGACGTCACGGTACTCGCCATATTCGCTATTGCGATAAAATGAAAATTTTATCACTCGAATTTGACAGCGAAATGTGGATATAATAAGCTTTATCGAGGCGCCATACTACGGGAGCAGAAGTATTTATTACGGAACACGGGAGAGAAAACTTTATTGAAAAATCTTAAAAATAATCGAATGATTCGAATCTAGGGGGCTACTCTCGATCTTCGTCCGACATCCGTCCGAAACAATTACTGTCAAATAAGTAATATTCGACAAAATTAAAAGACAAGTATCCAGTATGAAGCTTCATTCGCATCACGTGTCTTTTCATTTGGTCAAGTATTGCTTATTTGGCAGTAATTGTTTCGGACGGATGTCGGACGGATGTCGGACGGAGATCGAGAGTAGACCCCCTAAATAGAACGTAATAAAAAATTAAAATTTTACTACGTTCAAGAACTTGAGACAAGAAAAAATTTCGATTCGAGACTAGAACTGTGATTTTTTCGAGCGAAGTTTAGTCAATCGTGTAACGCCATAGTTCACTGCCGGTAACTCTTCTGTTTTCATTATCAATTAAAATATTATCAATTAAAAAAACAGTTGAATTCGTGTTTCTTAATGTAAAAAAAACCGATTTTCCATGTGATAGAAATACGTTAAGCCGTCAATTTTGCGTCTAACCTCACCTTAAGTATTTCATTCCTAAATATGTATTAGAAACCTTTATCACATCTAGTTATTGTTGATCTGTGTAACCCGTTTCAATGCCTTTGTTGGTTCAACGGCGGCGGTAAGCTTTGTCATACATAACGTCTCAATTTACCACATTAACCAAACCATACAGCACTATTGTCGAAAATGTTTTTCTTTATTTGGCCTAAGTTCTTTCTTTAAAAACAAAAGGAAACCGAAAGGGAAAGATGTTTGGGCATGCAAACATTACGGTATTTTTCTTAAAGGTTTTCAGTATTTTTTTTTCAAGAAAGAGATTCAGCGGAAGACGTACAGTTTGTCTTTTTTGAAGACGGAGTAAAATGACTGTTCATTACGCGAAAGTGTTGCCTGCTTGCGAGCAGCTAGTGATTGCAGTCGATAAATATTCTATCGACTGAATGTTGGTCTCGCTTATGGAATAAATAGCCGAACTTATTTTTTTTACTTATTATTTTGTATTTAATTCTTAAGCTCTCATTTGACTGGAACTGGAAAATCTTATGAGGACTATTTTCTAATGCACTTGACTACCTCGGTGATCCAGTTGCTAGCGCTGTTATTCCTCAATTGTAAATTGCTTCAGTTTTGGTAGTTGATACGGGGTTGATTACGTTGCTTTGGTATTCGTAGTATAGCGAATTCACTAGTTTGAGACCCGGTGATTGCTGTGATCAGGTACATTGTTATTATTATTTTGTGTATCAACTTTAGATTCTTGACTTTTCGATGGCTTAAAATATAGTTTCCCAGTGGGCGCTGAAGACACCTAGGGGCCTCGGAAGCAATTGGGGGCGTTGATGGTGTCCAGAGGGTGCTCCAGCATTTGAAAAAAAACTCAATTGTCTATATAAACTACACCACAAATAATAGATTTTTTTTCCGTATCTTCGATTATTTTTTGGTGTGGTGGGCGTTGAAATTTTCTTATCTTGTCTAAATGAGCGGTGAGCAAAAAAGTGTGGAAATCTATGGCTTAAATGATAAATTTTGAATGGGATAGTGGGAATTCCCCAGTAATGACACAGTCGGCCGGGTCAGGGTCTCAGGTTCAAGAGTCGGCGATCGAATCCAACCACTTGAAATTGTTTGCGAGGCTGGCTGTAATTAAGCTGCTTGCAGACAAAACAATTGGGATTATTTCAATGGAGGCCACATAAAAAAGAAACAAAACCGACCTCAAAAGTTTGCTTATCTGAATTAGGTGTTTGTTACATCTATTTGCCAAGTTTTATTGAAATCGGTTAACGGAAAGTGGGTAAAATCCAATAATCCGGAAAATGGGACCACCTCGACAGTGTACCCTTCAAACAAAAAAAGAATTTTCAAAATCGGTCCACAACTGACGGAGAATTCAGTGAACATATAACTCCTTTTTCTTAACTGTAATTTGAGGCTTAGTAGCGTGTCTTCAGGAGGTAGCACTGACTTTTACTTTAAAATATGCAAAGTACAGACATGAGTCTTACGTAATAATATGTATTGAATGTTATCTTTTGTGCTCTCAGTTATTTGACTGGTTTAGCACACACGCCAGCACATCAAGCTACACATTGACGTATCTTGTTCCGTTGCACTGGAGGCGATTTTCGAACAAAAATGTGTAGTCTGATGTGCCGTTGTCCGTACATATACGGACCAAAGCTATGTAAAAGCAGCGTATAATGTACTACTACTGCTACTTGGTGAAACGGGCTGGTGTCCGCGACTCGACGACAAAGCGCCTATTTATATTTACCTATGTTAATATGTTATGTTAATGTATATTTACGTTAAAGCTGTGTTGTGATGAGACCCTTTTCGTTTTTTCGACTTTCATGCACTTCCTAACAATTCGTCATGTATTTAAAATACACAGCTTTATGGTGATGGAGAGTTTCTTTAACACCTAATAACAAGAGGTGGTGAATGGTGGTGAAGTTAATTTGGGGTAACGCCTATAGGACTAGCATGACAGGACGCGACTTGCGCGAGAGCGAGATAGAAGTGCGAAATATTGTTATTCTTTATGCGATATTAGCAGTATCTCGCGCTTCATGTCGCTTTCGCGAAAATCGAGGACTGTCGTGCTAGCTGTACTGTTGTGAAAATAATAATAAGGATAACATTTCTTGTCGCCAAATCCTAGTCACGTCATCCTTGAGTGCTGCGTATATAAATTAATTATTGTATTATTATTACGAATAGATTAATAAATAAACAATAACTCACCCCGGAACTTTTTGGGTGGATCAGTCAGATCGCCGGCTTCTGGGCAAACCACGCATCTGTCATCTACCAACCTGCAAACAATGTCTTTTATAAATAAAGATACATTTATAAATAAAGTAGACATATTGAGACATTGTCAGGATGTTTCAACAACATGACATTAAATTATTTTTGTGAAATAACGCCACCAGATTCTTATAATTATCACACAAAGATCGAACACTTAGAAAAAAATCACTTCGATCCGGTTGGATTCGAACCAACGTCTCCCAACATACCGTGCCGGGGGTTTACTCTCGATCTCCGTCCGAAACAATTACTGTCAAATAAGTAATATTCGACAAAATTAAAAGACAAGTATCAAGTATGAAGCTTCATTCGCATCACGCGTCTTTTCATTTGGTCAAGTATTGCTTATTTGGCAGTAATTTTTTCAGACGCATGTCGGACGGACATCGAGAGTAGACCCCCTGACGAATTTTTCCACGTGTCTGTTAAGATCTTTTGTTTTTTAACGACTTTTTCACCGTAGCGCCATCTGTGAGAAATCTATTAGTTTTTCTCTCAGGGAGGTACCCTGGCAGCTACCAGCCGCTGACTATATAAACATAAATGTATCATGGTCCCTTGTTTATATATACACATAAATAAATATAAAACAACACATATACGTTGAACCGATCCCAAAGTAAGTAACTAAACAATTGTGTTATAGAAATCGGAAACAAAGACGGGACCACAAACACCCAGAGCCCAGACCCAAGACAGTATAGAAAAGGTTTTGTACTTAGGGCTTGGCCCGCAGCGTGAGACGCCGCGAGGCCGCCGAAAATCAGTGTGAAGAAAGGTGTTAAACAAACTTAACCTTTCACATGTGCGCCGTAAAATTCATTTTGACATGACTTCCTTACTTGCATCATTAGTTAAGAATATGGATACAACCTGAAGTTGTTTTTGTTGATTCTGCATAACAGTGACAGTGTTGAATCAGTCGCTTTGGAAAAATATATAGTAAAATTGAGTATATACTGAAGTATACGGCGTGAAAAAAAGTGTTAAATAAAAAAGAAAGCTCTTAGAACCAAAGGTAAGCTAAAGGGTCAGGTAGGTATGTTGGAGCATCGATAGAACCTGCGTTTTCATAAATAAATTAATTCATCAAGCAAATCGTTCAGCCACTGTGGTCGTCGTAGTTAATAAAAGACAGACATGATTGAAGCCCCTTGTGTCCAGAACGTTGACAGCTAATTTTGTCAAAATAACAAGTTTAGTTACCCGAAGAGAAAACATTGCCCCGGGCAGGATGCCCCAGGGTGCAGCCCTTCGCGATGTTTTTTACATTTCAATCTTCTACTATGTTATTTATATATTAGGTGTTTAATCTTATTTCTATAAATGTTTGCGTACAAAAACCACATTAGTTTTAAATTATGCAAATATCAACCATCTTTTATTTTATGTAAAAAAAAATATTAAGTCAACGGGGCGGACATGTAATAGGGCAAGATTAATATATAACACATTTTTAATTATGTGAAAACCTTAATTAGGTTGTTGTCAGACTGTCTGTCAAAATATCATCATCGTGCACGATCCCTAAGCGGTCAGTTGTAGTAGGAATACGACTGAAATCGTTCTCTGGGTATATTTTTTGACATAAAAATACTTTTTTTATTCCATAATTACCAGTACCCACAAAAAAGCGACACATATCATTGTAAAGTACATATTTTTCTATAAATCTAGCCATATGTCATTCATTATGTCATTTCTGTGCGCCGCCATGGGTATACTTTTTATACCATGGTAGGCCGTCATCTTCATAGTCTGTCTTTTTAGATAAAGAAATTTAATTGTTACATTACAGGGGAATGTTCCCGGTAAGGGAACGCCTTCAGACGTTGGTAGGTACTACAAAAAAGAACTATATTTCCTTTGAATTATGTGCGCAAGAAGTAAACAGGGAATCAATCGCTGGAAAGTTTTGGCGATTATCCAGAAGCAGCCAGGTGTATAGAGAATTAACAAACAAACAAAACTTTGTAACGGTATTGTTACAGGCCATAGCAAATTATACACGGGCAAAGAATACAAAGACATCACTTCAAAAAAAAAGAAAACAAGAAAGATGAAACGAATTCACGAAGTTTGTGATCGTTGTCTGATTTCCATTGAATTTATTACAATGCGAAATGAGCAACATCCCTAAAAATCTAAATTTATTTATACAAATAAAACTGTCATTCAATAGTGCAACATTTAGCATTTATTTAGAGCAAAATTTGTAAGTGGAGCTACATAAAGGAATAATATCGCAGTATCCAATTATAACGAACGAAAGGAAAATTATTTCAATCTATACCACACTAGACTATATTACTAACAACATAAACAAAAAATTCTAAACGGTACATTAGTACAGGGAAGTACTGCCGCCTACCTATTTCTGCCGCCAACATTTTCCGCATCTTAGTAACTTTGCTTTAAGATACTAGTTTGAGAAAGTGAAGCGACAAAATTGTACCACGAATGTTCTTACTCACTACTGTAATATTACAAATTGTGTCATTACACGTTGCGTACCGTAATATCGGCGTATATATTTATTGTTAAAGATGTAATATGTATATACAATATGACAATATATTAAAGATTACAAATAAAAAATTTTATTATCAATTTTACTAATTTTATTATAATATCATCTATCCTTCTTAGTATTTTCATCGTGTGGCGTCTATCCACATAGGTAGGCATCTATCCTCAAAAAAATAGGTTTGCAAAAAGTCAATTTCTTCAAAACCAGTAAATGTTACATCAATAAAACTAGGTAGTTAGTCATATTCATATGAATTATTCATGGTATACTAATAATTTTTAAATTAGGAGGCCCTTTCAAAAAAATGGGGCATCTAACCCGGTTATACTCTACTGCGTTCCGGCTTTGAAGAGCTAAGGTGCTACTGGTAAAATTACACACGAGACTTGTCAACCGACTTAATATGTCTCAGAGTGACGAGCGCAGTGGCAGTGCCCCTAAGATCTTTACGATTTAAAGCTCTGAGTGGCACTACAACTAATACGAATAGGCGTCGCTTACCACCATAAAAAATAAAACTGTTATAACACTGTGCGGTGACAAAAGGAAGCGCTAGATTAAATACCAGTTCGATGCAAAATACGGGAGCGGGGTTTTGAGTCGTCGGGGAGGTCACTTGCACGTTAAAACTTACTATCTTACTACAAATACAGATCTAAAATGTATCAGATAGTACAATAAAAACTTAAAAGTTAATTTTTGGTAAATTTATCATGTTTTGTAAAAAGTCATGGAAGAAAAGTTGTTGTTTATAATGTTAGTAATATATCGCACTGCTATTACAATAGTGTTATAACTCAAAAAATGTGAAATTCAAGATTATACCATTGTTGAACGTAAAATTTGATTCTCTACACGTCAATAAAAGCGTCGTTAGAATATTGTAAAACACAAGTAAAAGATATCTACTTAACTACTTAACTTAAAATGAGACACGCTTTATGTGAGCTAGTTCTGGCCGAAATAATACTTATTCAAAAATAAGAAATTATTTTTCTCTTTTATTTTTAAAGATGTATGATGATGATTTGGCAAGTAGAAAATAACCTACACATAAATTTACACAGATTTTTCACGGGAAGCGAATAATCCGTTTTTCGTCGATTCTGAGAAAATACACTTTTTGAGTTAACACACTATAACAGTGCGATATCATTCATTCGTAGAACAAAGATGTATGTGCAAGACTACTTGTTCTCAGGACAATAGTACATTCCGTTGGTTCTTCTTCGCTGCGGATGTCAGATCGACCGTTTTATATTTCAGAAACGAAATAAGATAAATACATATATAGATTCTCAAAACACCTTTACATGGGCCTTAGGTTGAATAAGGAAATTATTCTCGTAACGTATTTATCCTTTTTTCGCTATATAATCACATCGGACTCTGTTCTCCGGATGATAGTAGATGTAGTCCTGTGGGGTTGTTAGTATTTTACAACCTTGTGCATACATACAATAGCTACTATAAGGTCTAAATATCGCTGCGGTTCTAGGAATAGTCCCAAACCAAAGTAGTAATTTTTTTACTTATCAAGTTTTAACACGGCCATATTCAGAATGTGCTAAATATCTCTTCATCATCAGCTTAAGAAGCATCCACTGCAGGACATAAGCCTCCCCTAGCGCCAACTTTCCGTCAGTCGTCCGTCCATCTTGCCGCAGGGCGTCCCACACTACGTTTTCCTTTACGTGGTCGCCATTCCAGAACAAGTCTGCTCCATCGGTGATCAATCCTCCTGCAGACATGCCCGGCCCACTGCCACTTAAGCTTGATTTTGCGAGTTATGTCAGTCACTTTAGTTCTCTGACGTATGACCTCGTTACGGATTCGGTCCATCAGAGAAACCCCAAACATAGCTCGCTCCATGGCACGCTGAGCGACCTTGAATTTGTGGACGAAGCTTGTTGTTACAGTCTACGTCTCGACTGCGTAGGACATAACTGGTAGAACGCACTGGTTAAATGCCTTAGTTTTTAGGCTTTGTGGGATTGACGACCTGAAGATGTGGCTAAGTTTCCCAAATGCCGGCCAGCCCAAACGAATTCTCCTGTCGGCTTCCTTCTCGAAGTTGTGTTAAATGTCTATTGATGCCGGAATTTGCATAAGTGTTTTTTTTATAACACCAACCAAGTGACGGAATGAACAATAGTGCGCCTGGTGGTAAATGACACGCCTATCCATAACAATTGCAATGCCACTCAGAGCTTTAAACCGCAAAGATCTGAGGGGCACTGCGCCTGTCACCCTGAGACATTAGTTGACAAGTCAAATGTGCCTGTAATTGTGCCTGGAACGCAGTAATGCTGACATTACTGCTTGACGGCAGAAATAGGTAAGGTGGCAGTACTTCCCTGGACGAACTCTTTCACAAGGATCTCTACTACTGCTTAATGACTAGTTAAGTGTCAACAAATACTCGTGGAAGCACAAGGAGCTCTGCTGCTTCCAACCTACTTTTGAAATAGGCAAATCTTGTTTTCCCTGGATTTTTAAGATCGGATACGGATGGGACGCTGCAATGCAGCAAAACTGAAAGCCATACTACACATCCGTGGTAAGAGCAAAACGGCTGAGATTATAGAAGGGTGTGGCGAAAAGCACATAAGCTTCCTGTTTTAAATTTTCTTCTGTTTCCACATACTGAAGGCGGTCACGCGGTCCCTTTCACATCTGTATGACGCGTTAAGTACGCTTCATGCCTTTAGACGTAATACTTGTGCTAAGAATGCGAATGCGATACGCGTGAGCGCTTCTGTTGAACTAAATCGTGTATATTTGAAATATTTAAAATGTGAGATATTAATTTTATTACTTTTGTAACAATAGTGAAAAATAGGGTGGTTTGCATTAATATTAGACGTAATTGATTGATGACTTTACCATCTTAGCCACCCTTGACCATGGGAAGGGTCCCACAGTCGCGGGTTTCGGCCCTTTACAGGGGCAAAGGGCCCGAAACGTCGGTTGGTATGAAAAAGCAAATATAAAAAATCGAACATCTATTTCCTAAAAAAGCAAAAATTGCAAATTAAAAAGTCCTTACCCTAAGGTACTCAGGAAGCCTGAGACTGAGCCCTCCGCATATAGGGACACAATGTCCCCAAGGTGCAGGAAGCTGTCTCCCATTGTGGCACCTTCTCCTTACCCCCACCATAAAACGACACCTGAAATAAACAAAATATATAATGAATTTGGTGTTATTTACAGTGATCGGAATAGGTAGATCACGTTTACCTAAACTTCGAAAAACAGAGAGAGAAAGTGGAGATTACCTTACGACAACATTTTTTTCGTCCCGGATTTTTTCGGGATTCGGGAAATCACAAGTTAAAACGTATACCTTGAACTATAGTCTGTTCCAATCCATTTTCTACATAAAGTAAACAAAACTGTCTGGTTAAAATTCTAAAGCAACCACTCAATAAATCGATTAAGTAATACTTTCACGTATATTTCGAGGATTTCGACTTGATATCTCTTCACTTTTTCCAACAATATTTATTTTATTCATAAAATTGTATTTGGAAAATGGTAGTCCTAGAGTGAGGCTATTTTTCATTTATACATCTATGACTTGTCTATGGTTGCATAGTGCTGTAGGAAACAAAACATTCGTTTCATTCATTTCAAGTTTTTGTAATCGATTATAGTCCATTTGTTTAGGTACTTAGCTAAATGTAAACAATCTTGATATATCTTTTTATTGAAACACATGCTTTACAAATCAATAGGTCAATCAATAGGCATGCAATTTCATATGAAGCTAAGTATTTGTATTTTGTATTTGAAGGTAAGGGAAAATCATTTTATAAATGTATATTTCATTAAATAGACATCTCAAGATTGTTTACATTTAGTTAAGTACCTAAACAGATGGACTATAGTAAATCGAATATTTCAATCGCAATCGAACGAGTATCTAAGTTTAAGTATTTGAAGGATGACTTAAAATTAAAACTTCGGAAATTTTAAATATGCTTAATAGGTTATGTAGGGAAAACCGCTAGTATGACTCAATTGGACAAATCGATTCATGCAATTAATTAATCGATTTGTAGTTGGCATTACAATTGGCCATCACTAAACCATCTATGGTCGAGTCAGTGACTTGTTTGTTTACATTTTGTTGAAAATGGATTGAAACTAAGTTTACACGGATAGTCGATGCGATAGATTTAGTATCACGAAAGAATGTCCATTATTCAACAGTAAGTTTGAAATACATATCTTAATATTTCTAATTGCACGTATTAAATAAGAATTATTTTTTGTCAGAATTTTCCTAAATATTCTGAAAAATTGCTGGTTCCAACAACACCTCGGCGTCGCAAAATTTAAACAAATATAGTCTACGCACCTATCCCAAATAAGTCAATTTTAAATATACTTATGTGATTTCCAGAATTCCGAAAAAATCCGGGACAAAAAATATTGTCTTAGGGTAATCTCTACTTTCTGTTTCTGGTTATTTAATATATTTCAAATTCACACATTCTAACAAATAGGTAATACTCCTATACAGATAGTAAGACACTGAAGCTGTTCTGGGGGGTGTCACGTCTGACAAATGAAAATTAAGTAGTTATATAGTCGTGTCTTTTTTGAAGACGGAGTAAAATGACATTTGTAGGGTTGCCAGTTTTCATAAAACTTTAAATAGTTATGTAGTTGTTGTCGATAGTTTTGTCGATAGATTGTGAAAGAAGATTCGAGCCAGAAATGACTGAATTGTGAATGTTACGACGTTCTAATGATTACTAATTGCGCTATTACCTTTTTCATTCTAATTTTGACAGTTGGCCTACTAGTATCGAGATCAATATTTATTCATATATACATTTCAACAAGAATAGCCAAATTTGATAATCTATACTTAATTAAAATGAAAATCTTTAAAATATGTGTCCTCTTTGTATTTTTTATAAACATAGTTCTAAATACTGTGTACGTACGTATGAACTTACAAAAATTGACAATTCAAATGAAATTGTGCTCAGTAATTGGATGGTCGAGAATGATTGAAATGAAACAAGTTCGGCTATTTATTCCATAAGCGTGAGAAGTCGATAGTCGATATAATATTTATCGACTGCAATCACTAGATGCTCGCAAGCGGGCAACACTTTTGCGTAATGAAACTATAGAAGCAGTCTTCACTAAGTATATCATTACATTAACTTAACATAAACGATCTTACATGGTCAAACACAAATTATTTAATAATATTTACATTTATGTTTAAAATCTGAGAGAAGATAAATAGTATTGTAGCGCAGTTATAATAAAATATTGACATTGTTGCTTAAGCAACATTTCGTTATAGATGAGTGAAACTAGCTCAAGATCGCCGTCGATGGCATAAGATATAGGAGGTTAAAATGCTGCCGTCGGAATAAAACGGCTGCCCCATAACACAACCTAGTAAGTGCTGTAGACACCATTTTACTGGAGAGCCCGAATGCACAAATAAAAATTTAATGTAAAAAAGTAATAGTCTTAAGAAAGGTGATCAACGAATTCCAACTCCAAAATCAATTTACTTTTTCCAAATTCTAAAATTGATTATTGTTTTCAGCAGCTGAAATTCATTGTTTCTGTTACACAGCTTTAATTTACATCAGCCTGTAATTTAGTCCAACCTTTAGGCGTATCCCAAACAGGCATTCGACACAATCATCACGGTTTGTTGATCGCAGTAAAATTCCAATCCATTACAAAAATGGATAATGCTAGCCAAGCAACAAAAATATGTTCCACAATGTCCCATAAAATTCATATAAAACATACGGAAAGATCGCGTCTTAGCAACAGAAACGTCTTAACACCGGTTTGTTTATACAAACAGTTAACAGAAGACACGAGTTAATGGACCTGTAAAGTTCTCATTCGCCTGCCATTATTCAAAACAAACGTAGTTATACGTCAAAACGTACTTTTATTCACATGCCATTAATAACGTCTTCTTTCAATTTGAGTTAACGACGTCTGAGGCAGACAAAATTGAAGAACAATATGGATTATTTGTATTTTTAACACCCTTGCTCGTAAAGCTGATGTAATTCCACCGGTTTTAAATATGTAAAGCGGGTCATAAAAAACGCGTGTGTTACCAAAGCAAATAGTTAAGTTATAGTCCATACAAATTCCATAACAGTATTATTTGCCATTTCAAATATGGAACTGATAGCCGCCCGACTCCAGCTAGTGAGCAGCGCGCTGTTGCTATTCAAAATTCGAACAAATCGCCGCGCGGCGCCAGTCAGTAGGCAGCGATAATTAAAAAACCAACTACAACTACGTATCATTTTAATAATTGTAATTTCACTAACTGTTTCAATAATTAAAAATGAACAAAATATAAAATGTTTTTTTTCTGTTTCCTCGCAAATGTGTTAAAAATCGTCGTACGATATACGTGCGTATTGGTTATAACATGCTCGGCTCAATTAAAACTCCGCCTCGCATGTTATAACCATCTTTACGCACTAATATCGTAATGTACTATTAACCAAACGAAGACGCAGCGTCAGCGGATTACACACAAGGTGAACCGACGACTTGGTAAAGATTGCGGCAATCCACTGTATTCGAGCAGCGAAAGACTGATCGCTGTTGCCATCTTTGAGCTACGTCTACTGTTAAGTAATTTTCCGAAAAATTTCAAGTAGTGGAATTTGAAAAAATATAATTTCGAAGTCTCATATTACGTAATTTCTTTTAAAGTTTTATTTAGCGTCAATTATATAATAAACTTGTATAGTTAAAAGTCACTTAAGGAAAAATGAGAATTAAAATGGTGTCACAACAGCGAAAAAACCTTTTAAATGGCACAATCATCTTCGTTCAGTAACTTCAACTTTTGACAGGTGTCAACATCAAATGTGGAAAATTAAAGGAAAAATATCCCGAAAAACATCTATTTTTATAGAGCGACATGAAGCGCGAGATACCGATATTCTCGCATAGAGTATCTCGCGATTTATGTCGCTCTCGCGCAAGTCGTGCTAGTCCTACTGGTTTGTTCCGTGGCTTGATTGACAGAGCATCTGGCACAGATTGCCCGAGGGTGCTGCTGATTCGAAAACCGCATCGAATGAATTTTTCTAAGTGTTCGATCTTTGTTATTAATTAGTGTCCGTCACATTTTCAAGTTTTTTTTGTAATAGTAATTTGTGCACAATTTATTTATATGTCGGCGTCAGCTATCATTTCAAACCATAGCTTCAAACCCAATTTATTAGATAAACGATTTGCTAGGCTACCTACGAATCATTGTAACTAGTCTCGATCATGGTTAGTTTGTTTGCAAATGTCACGTCAGCTTGACAGCTCAAACTGGGTATGGTCGGATCGGAGAGGGAGCTTTTTGTGTACGTTTCTTGGACAGTGAAGACGTACCGCCCCGTTCTCTCTGAACTTGCTGCGTGATATTTAGAATCCGTTTTAACCTCATCCATCTCATATACATATTTTCGGACTAATAACTGTGAAAAGTGCATAAAACAACTAATTGCAATCAGTTGAATTTACTATTTTACCGCCGCGCAGACGAAACGAATTGATAACGTAGAGTGAATAAGCGGATTATCAAGTAATTCCTGACTAAATCGCGTTGAGGGTGTTTCCTTCGACGTCTCCCTTTCCGGCCTTAAAGGGAGCTCCGTAATATATAACATTTGTGTATAATTTATTTGTGTTTGAGGTCAACATTAGGCCAATTTCGATGTTATTCAATTATTTTTATAACATTTTTTCCTCTCTTATCGCGTTGACAAAGCACGTTTTACTGTTATTTTTTATTATAACGACCCAAATCACTATCAGCACCGCGTTTAAATTATAGAACAACCTATTAGATAGATGTTTTGTCAATATTTGTATTACAGTAAATTAAAAAATTAATGTGATATCTAGTTGATCCTTCTGATTATTATTTAATATATAAAATTAGTAACAACGATGTGCCAGATAATTATACCTGTACGAGCATTACATTAGATATGTCATAACTAACCTAAACTTTTTGACGCGCTTTTTGTGCAGTTTACACGAAGTTTTTATTTAAGTTAAAACTGTATTTCACTGTAGGTTTCGTTCTATGTAATTGCTTACCTACACCACGGTATGTGCACCTCCTCTATGTACCTGGTGAGAGCTGC